TTTTTTTTTTTTCTCCTCCAACAAATGTTTTTCTTAAAGGACCAGTCCGGAGATTTTTTTTTGTTTTGGGTTTTACAGTTGCGCCCTAAAACTGAACCCAATTCAAAATAAATAAAAGCTCAAATATTAATCATTTACTAAAAGGTTTTATTTTCTACATGGTTTAAGCAAACGCGTAATTATCAGTCATCACATAGGCTAACGCAGGGGCGCAGATAGGTTTTTGAAACTGTGGGGGACAGTTACTATAGGGCTTGGTCATCGTGACGTAAGCACTTCGCGTCGCCGCCATGTTGAATGCGTCTTTTACAGCAGCTCAGACTACTGCCTATGACTACCGCGTACTGTACTCCCTCTCAGCCGTGTTTTAATTTGATTAATTTCACCTTAACTTGATTTCAACCATGGTAAACCGTTGCTGTATTGTGGGCTGTAACAGCTCAACACATGATCGCCATGGAAACATAGAAAATGGGTTAACTTTCCACCGCTTTCCTGACTGGAGGCGTAACCATGGAGACCAAGCGTCAGAGATAAAGAGTCGTGGGCTAGCTTGGATCGCGGCTGTAAGACGACCGAACATAACTTTCCACAGTATTCCAATGTCCAATGTCTTTCCTTCAAAGTTGGGATCTTTTACGGGAAAATAATAAAAACGGCAGCGGGAAAAGGCTCAAATACGCGAGAAACCCGGAGGGTTGGCAGTTAACGTTACTAAATACACCTTTGAAACACATAGCAGCTAGTTAAAAGTACATTACATGCGTGAGTGGTTGTTAGCCTTAGCGGTTAGCAGTTGCTAAACTAGCAGGTTCCAGAGCCCCTCTGATCACAGCTTACCTTCGTACGGATTACTGTGTTCCCACTGTTTGCTGGCTTTATGATCTGCAGCTCCTGAACCCATCCATTCATGAACTGCACATGAGACTCCAGGGACTTGTAGCTTGGGAACTGTTTTGAAGTATAGGCGCTCACTCATTGGTGCTCCACTCATTGTTTGGAACTTTATATGGATCCAAATGATTAACAATGCTGATTTTGTCACCATACCGGTCCCTGGCTTCTCTATTTAATGTGTCCCGGTAAATTCCAGATCCTTTTCGGGATTTTAACATCTTTTTTCTCTCTACTTCTGTCTCTTCTTTCAACAACAACGTTGTGTCAGAGCTATGCTTACGTTTGCGTAGCAGTCAATATGGCTGCGACGTCCCACAATGCAACGTGGATCCTGAGCCCTATTACTGGCTATTACTCAGCTATGACAACCCATCAATCTTAATTGCCCATCATTGCAAGAAAATAACATGTATTGGTACCAAGTACTCACCAAACATGCCACATGACGTGTGAAAAAAAAAAGGTTTTATTTAAACATGGACTGACTTTAAGTGCAGGCTGTAAACACACAGAAACACGAACAGCAAAGCCTACATATATACAAAAACAAATTTGTAAATAAGTACTTTACATGGCTTTTCAATAAATGGCCTCAAATGAAGAAAGTTGTGTGTCTACTTTGTCAAGAACTCTGTAGAACTCCACTTTGTGGTACTCCACAGCAGATTCTGGCCTGTGTGCAGGTGCTGGCCCAGAATATCTCTTTGGGGGCCTATGTGTTAGAGACAGCTTCTCAGCCATATCCACTGCTTCCTTAAAGACTGCCTCAAAGTGGGCTGGCTTTCTTTTGTCCCGTAATCTCTCTTGGACAACTGAGACTGCAGAGACCATGCCCTCCAATGTCTGGGTGCTTTTTTGGAGCGATGTATTCAGCACTTCCAGTTCGCTCATTACATCTAAGGCCAGTGAGCCCCAGTAGCCCCAATTCCAGTAAAATCTCAGGCTTTTAAATGTTGTAAAATCACCCATAAGTTTTAGGTGTTTTAGTCCTTTATAATTAAATTTATACATTCAAAAAACATAAGGAAGTTATTATCAACGTCTCACTCTACTTTACAGCTTTGTATTAACATTGCTTTAATGTGTGTTATTGTGTACAGCTGGGGATGTTAAGGGCCATGTTAATTATAGATTAAAGAATTTACTGTTCTGTAGTTTAAGCAATCACATCACTAGTCTTTCCTGTGACATGCACCTTTTATTTATTTATATATACACACACAAACATTATATATATATATATATATATATATATATATATATATATATATATATATATATATATATATATATATATATATATATATATATATGAGAGAGAGAGATTCTTTCCTCCGAGTTACAGTGACATAGACAAACTTGAAGATACATGACATCCTCAAATTTCTATTCTATTAAAATTTCTGTATCTGTATAATGGGTCTGTTCTATATGTTGTCTTCTCAATTCAGAAGGCCCCATGCCTGTCTTTGCCTAGGGCCCAAAATTTCCAAAATCCGCCCCTGTGTAGTGGAATTTGTCTAGCTTTGAAGTTCGTTTTTCTCATGATTCAACCTGTAACAACCTAAACCATTTGGCTTGGCATAAATACGGATTCAAGTAGCCTACTGTAGCCTACACATTTCTGAAAGACCCCCAACAACTCCAGAAAAAGTCGGAACAGTCGATTTAATTATAAATAAATAAATGCCAGTCGATTCCCCCTGCCTCCCGCCTTATGACATTGGCCCCTCTCTTCACGCTATTCTCACTGACCGTCTCCACTCTTTTTTCCACGGCGACATCGAACAGACAACCAAAAAAATGCAAGGTGATATGATACCGCAATGAACAGTTTACTTACAGTTGGTACTTTTCGAAAAAAGGATGCAATTGTTTTCTGTTTTTTCGGTTTGGCTGGCCTCATGTTGATGTCCGGACTCCGGAATTGGGAACTGTCCCGCCACTACTGTCTGTCTGAGTAACCATGGAAACCAGGCTCGAGACGTAAATGCCAGAGACAGTATAACTTTTAGATTTGAATCTCTACGACGCAGGCAGCCTGCAGTTAAACAAAACGATAACCCGTCTATGATCTGACTGTTTTATGTTGTTGTTGCAAAGCAGTAAATTAGAAAAAGCTTTTTGATTTTCTGTGAGTTTCGCCATATGTTTTTTTTTTTTTTTTTATAAAAGTGGGGGGGGGGACGGATTGAGGGTCATTCGAATCTGTGTACGTCAGAACACCCCTGACGTACACGCTATCTGCGCCCTTGGGCTAACGGTGCATTAGTCAGACCCTGTGAAATGGGTCACATAGGAAATCTATCTGCTCCAAAGACACCGCTTTAAAACGCCTGTCAGGCTGCCAGAGTTTCCATCATTTACAATCTGATCGGATTTCTGAAAGGGGATTTTCACTGTCCTCAGAAAGACCAACAATAATCCCACATTTTATGACCAACGAGGAATCTCTTTTGTTTCAATGTGAAGACAAAGAAGACATTAGAGAGGAAATGTAGACTTGCCTTCCAAATCATATCTATTGATAAATATTACTTTCACATCTCATATCTCAAAGTTCTGACTTTAATCTCAGAGTTCCGACTTTTTTTTCTCAGAATTCTAACTTCAATCTCAGAGTTCTGACTGTAATCTCAGAATTCTAACTTTAATCTCAGAGTTCTGACTGTAATCTCAGAATTTTGACTTCTTCTCAGAATTTTGACTTTAATCTCAGCGTTCTGACTTTAATCTCATAGTTCTGACTGTTACCTCAGCACTCTGACTTCAATCTCAGAGTTCTGACTTTTTTTTCTCAGAATTCTGACGTTCTGACTGTAATCTCATAATTCTGACTTTAATCTCAGATTTCTGACTTTTTTTTCTCAGAATTCTGACTGTAATCTCAGCATTCTGACTTTAATCTCAGCGTTCTGACTGTAATCTCATAATTCTGACTGTAATCTCATAATTCTGACTTTAATCTCAGATTTCTGACTTTTTTTTCTCAGAATTCTGACTTTAATCTCAGAATTCTGATTTTAATGTCAGCGTTCTGACTTTAATCTCAGAGTTCTGACTGTTACCTCAGCATTCTGACTTTAATCTCAGAGTTCTGACTTTTTTTCTCAGAATTCTAACTTTAATCTCAGCGTTCTGACTGTAATCTCATAATTCTGACTTTAATCTCAGATTTCTGACTTTAATCTCAGCATTCTGACTTTAATCTGAGTTCTGACTATAATCTCATAATTCTGACTGTAATCTCAGATTTCTGACTTCAATCTCAGCATTCTGACTTCAATCTGAGTTCTGACTATAATCTCATCATTCTGACTATAATCTCATCATTCTGACTGTAATCTCAGCGTTCTGACTTTAATCTCAGAGTTCTGACTTTAATCTCAGAGTTCTGACTTTTTCCCCCTCGAATTCTGACTTTATTCTCAGCATTCTGCCTTTAATCTCAGAATTTTTACTTTAATATCAGAGTTCTGACTTTTTTTCCTCAGAATTCTGACTTTAATCTCAAGAGTTCTGACTTTTTTCCCCCTCAGAATTCTGACTTTAATATCAGCATTCTGACTTTAACAACACCTGATTGGTTGGGTGGCACCTCGTTTTCTGGTGTTGGTCCGCTGGATTTTCTACAGTCTGATCTACCAGGACACTGTGGAGCACCTCATGCTTCCTTCAGCAGGACTTCATATTTGCCCTCATTGCAGAATGAACCACAAGCTGGTTTGGGGAGCACAGTGGTACTTTGCTTATTTAGCTAGTAGAGCCTGGAGTTTTATCAAGAGGAAGATGAGAGATGTTAGAAACCTGATATTTCAGTTCAAATTATACTTTCATTTTATTATGGTACTCCAACTTTATGAAACATTAAACTTTAGGTTTTCAGCATCTAAACCTGTTTTAATCAAAATTACAATGAAATTAAATTCTCGAGATGTTTTAGTTTAATGGATAGTATTGATACTGAAAAGGCGTAGTTCGAGAACCAAATTCAAGTAAAACAAAAAATACTGTCTGAAAAAGAAAAGGCCTTTTTTTCCATCTGTAGTCATTTACAGGATCCAGTTTTGCTTTTTCTCCACTCAAAGAAATCGTGAGACGAATGTGTTTTATCTCAAATGTTTATTGAATCGTTGGGCCCAGGCCTTTGACACATCAGAAAGCTCCCACACAGTCACTGCCGAAAGTCAGCAAGGGTTCATGTTGTCGTTTCAATACTGTCTAAAGCTGGAAGGGAAGGGGACGGGGCAATTCCAGTACAATCTTTAGTTCAGCATCATGCACAGCCAGAGGAGCAGCATGCATGTTCAGAGTGATCGAATGGAGCGTCGGCCTCTTACAGTAGTGTTATCTGATTACATTACACCGAGAATCTCACTGCAAATGAAGACGATATGTTGTTTAATCAGCTGTCTTCAGCTTCAGCACACACCAAAACACTCTGCTACCCACAATGCTTTACACTCACCATTATACTGGAATTATAGAAGGCTCAAAACACAAAGAAAGGGGTGATGATAAGAGTTATAATCAGGTCCCACTTGAAGCTCTCAAACAGCGGGGGTTAACATGGCACTCTGTTACTCACCAAAGCGGTAAGACAACAGGAAGGAGAAGAAAACTGCTCCAAGTAAGGAGAAATTAATCACCCAGCACCTCACCAAGTGCAAACGCGCACAATTTAATGTTAATGCTCTGCTCTTCCCTACACTCCCCCATCTGCAACGCTCCCTGCATAATTTCTGCAGAGATCCTCAAAACGTAGATGAAGGGAAAACAAAACGAACGGACCCAGAGCCATTACCATGACATTCCTCTGCTGTACAAATTGTTAAAAGATCCTATAGGTTAGCTAAATGTGAGCTGGCCCTTTAAATTATGTACAAAGTTAAACCCACCAGTTATCATTTCAGCAGTAAATGAAATGCAAACTGTCACTTTCTTTTTGCTCCAGAAAGTGACTTAATAACCAAAAACAGCTTGTTTAAGGTAACGTATATATATATAATATATATTTTTATGTCAAGGTTAAACAAAACTCTACAAAGCAAAAAAAAAAAAAAAAGGCATATGTACACGATCACCCTGTCCCAGATAATTAAAAAATAAAGGAGCCAAATCCTGGCCTTTAACTACTTCATCCCTTACATCCCTCTCTTCTCCTACTGTGCTTCAAGTGCTGTTAGAAAGCACACAGGAGGTAATAAATGGTTCTGATGGCATCTGAGAGCTTGTAAAACACGCCACAGTTGCTTTGTTAGATGAAGGCCAAGATGCAACTAAAGCAGCTGCTGGGATGCATGTTGATTTGGATGCAGAGCCCAGATGTTGCAGCCGTAACACCAGGGACAGCCGTGGAGGAGTCTTATTTAAAGGCATGCAACCGTAGTTCTGATGCTCCTGTTCGTACCGCTTATCTTAATGTCTTTGATGACATTCAGTGTGTGCATGTTTAATTAGGATAAGCCTGTGTGCGTATCCACCTCTCAATTAGCCTGCCTTAGTTACAATGCATTGGATTTGTTCTTTCGGTGATGAACTCATGTGGCAACTTAAAAAATCAGCAGCATCTATTATTTTTTTCTGACATCTTTTGAAAGAAATAAAACATATTAAATGTTCTGAGGGGGGGGGCAGAGGAGCTGACGACTTCCTGGTGAGCTGATGTGGGTTTGTTTTGTTTTTTTATTGATTTGATCCTCAGTTTTTGTTCAAAAACCAGAGCAGCTGTTGGCGATGGGTCCATTAGGCAGACGCCGTCTGGATGCTTCCCCAGACTCGGTCCTGGCGGCTCCGTCCTTGCCCTTCTGTGCGCCCCCCTCAGGCCTCCTGCGGCGCGGGCCTCTTCAGGTCCCTGATCTGTTTGATTAAGTAAGTCTTTTCGTCATTGAACTGTTCGTCCTCTGTTCTGTCGTTCTGGAACTTGCTGAGAAACTCGATGAGTTTGGTCTGGTTCTTCAGCAGGATGTCCAGGATGGGCTGCGTTTTGTTGGGGTTGGCCACAAACACCTGCAAGTAGACAAGGAGAAAGCAACGAGGGTCAATAGAGTAGATGTATTTTCTGTTTTAATAGAGCATGAAAACAGCATCCCCCACAGCCTGATGCTGCCAGCAAACACTTTGATTATGACCATAATGTGTTCTGGTTGATCTGAAAGTACAGAGAAGCTACTGTTTTTATATACTTTGGTAAATCCAACATGTACAGTGCACATAACCACGAAATTAATGACTTCTTACTGACAGATTAAAAGTAAACATCTATCCTTAAACTGACAGCCAGAGGAAAGACACTAAAACGGTGGCGATCAGGAGTCCAGCATGTTGGACCGACTGAAGCCAGCTAACGGGGGACTGAAACACCGAGAGAAAATGGCCGACCTTAAAAGAAACCAAATATGGAGCGCTAAATTGTGTGGGCAGAAGAAATCAAAAATACACATGCAGTAAGTGGGCGCATTGTGGGTGAGCTACACAATTTTTTCCTGCAAAGGATAAGACGTTTAAATAGGTTCAGTTCCGCTCCAATTATACGAGTAGATTGCATGAGGTACTGGATGTTGGGGAGAGGGGCTGTAAAAGGAAGGAGCAGTCCTCATCAAATGGGATAATAATTATGATTATCATAGAAAAAATTATAGCCATAATAATGATGAATATTGTTTATAGCAGATTTTACGTAAATATCTAATTCTACTACAAAGAAAGGCAGAAAAGATTCAAAAGAACGAATATACAGGTGCTGGTCATAAAATTAGAATATCATGAAAAAGTAGATTGATTTCAGTAATTCCATTTAAAAAGTGAAACTTGTATATTATATTCATACATTACATACAAACTCATATATTTCAGATGTTTATTTTGTTTAATTTTGATGATTACAAATGACAACAAATGAAAATCTCAAATTCATCATATCAGAAAATTAGAATATTGTGAAAAGGTTCAAAATTGATGGCCCCTGGTGCCACACTCTAATCAGCTAATTAACTCAAACCACCTGCAAAAGCCTTTAAATGGTCTTTCAGTCTAGTTCTATAGGCTACACAATCATGGGGAAGACTGCTGACTTGACAGTTGTCCAAAAGACGACCATCGACACCTTGCACAAGGAGGGCAAGACACAAAAGGTCATCGCTAAAGAGGCTGGCTGTTCACAGAGCTCAGTGTCCAAGCACATTAATAGAGAGGCGAAGGGAAGGAAAAGATGTGGTCGAAAAAAGTGTACAAGCAAGAGAGATAACCGCACCCTGGAGAGGATTGTGAAACAAAACCCATTCAAAAATGTGGGGGAGATTCACAAAGAGTGGACTGCAGCTGGAGTGAGTGCTTCAAGAACCACCACACACAGACGTATGAAAGACATGGGTTTCTGCTGTCGCATTCCTTGTGTCAAGCCACTCTTGAACCACAGACAGCGTCAGAAGCGTCTTGCCTGGGCTAAAGAGAAACAGGACTGGACTGCTGGTGAGTGGTCCAAAGTCATGTTCTCTGATGAAAGTAAATTTTGCATTTCCTTTGGAAATCAAGGTCCCAGAGTCTGGAGGAAAAGAAGAGAGGCACTTCATCCACGTTGCTTGAAGTCCAGTGTAAAGTTTCCACAGTCAGTGATGGTTTGGGGTGCCATGTCATCTGCTGGTGTTGGTCCATTGTGTTTTCTGAGGTCCAGGGTCAACGCAGCCACATACCAGGAAGTTTTAGAGCACTTCATGCTTCCTGCAGCTGACCAACTTTTTGGAGATGCAGATTTCATTTTCCAACAGGACTTGGCACCTGCACACAGTGCCAAAGCTACCAGTACCTGGTTGAAGGACCATGGTATCCCTGTTCTTAATTGGCCAGCAAACTCTCCTGACCTTAACCCCATAGAAAATCTATGGGGTATTGTGAAGAAGAAGATGCAATACACCAGACCCAACAATTCAGAAGAGCTAAAAGCCACTATTAGAGCAACCTGGGCTATCATAACACCTGAGCAGTGCCACAGACTGATCGACTCCATGCCACGCCGCATTGCTGCAGTAATACAGGCCAAAGGAGGCCCAACTAAATACTGAGTGCTGTACATGCTCATACTTTTCATGTTCATACTTTTCAGTTGGCCAACATTTCTATAAATCCTTTGTTTTTATTGGTCTTCAGTAATATTCTAATTTTCTGATATGATGAATTTGAGATTTTCATTTGTTGTCATTTGTAATCATCAAAATTAAACAAAATAAACATCTGAAATATATGAGTTTGTATGTAATGTATGAATATAATATACAAGTTTCACTTTTTAAATGGAATTACTGAAATCAATCTACTTTTTCATGATATTCTAATTTTATGACCAGCACCTGTAAATCATAAAACCCGGAAAAGTTTCCTTTTTCCGTTCCACGACTCCAAATCTATTTAATTCAGTTTATTTCTTTAGCTCCAATTCACAACAAGTCATCTCAACACACTTTACAGTACAACCAGATCATACAGTCAAATTGATTTACAGTTTTCTAGCTAAGGAAAACCAGTTGATTGCATCAACTCATTGACTCGAAGGCAATCCCTCACACTAAGCATGCTTGTAGCGACAGTGGAGAGGAAAAACTCCCTTTTAACAGGAAGAAACCTCCAGCAGAACCAGGCTCAGTGTGAGCGGCCATCTGCTGAGGCCCACTGGGGTTCAAGGAGACAGAAGCAGAGATATAAAAAGCAACTTTAAAAGGCGGCCCGGTCCAGGAAACACAAAGCCTTGTGAGACCATCCTGATCTTGCGAGCTTTCAAGGTTTCACTCGTAGATCAGTCTGGAGACTCTCCATTAGGGCTGCAACTAACGATTATTTTGAAAATCGATGAATCGGCCGATTATTTTTTCGATTAATCGATGAATCGGACACAAAATATTTTTTTTATATTAACCTCTTTATTCCAAAATAAACATTTTAGACAGAACAAACAAGCACACAAGTACAGGTGTCTCATTAACTGCCCTGGTGCAATATGAAAAATAAATGTTTGTTTTAAAACTACGCAAACTTACATGAGAAATGTAGCTGTACATCCACAAAATATAGGCTACTTTGTTTCATAAAGCGCAAAAAGAGACAGGCATTTTAGTTTTTAAAGCCTCTAAGGGGTTCAAACAATAGGTCCCCCCATTTCAACAAATGAGTTTTTTTAGACTAGAAGAGTTCTGCCTTTTAAGACAGGAAAGTATAGCAGTTAAAGTTGCTACTTGAGAAAATACTGAACCATAGAGATAAAAATAGCCCTGTGATTCAAATTATAAATTGTATTTGGAATAAAAATGAGAGAACTAGGGGTGCTAAAAAACACATCCTCCAAAGACAGATATTTACATGGGAATGTGGCAGATAATTAATTGACATATTACTGATCTTGCTGGATTTTATTCTGCTTTACTTCCATAAATTGCAGGATCTTCTTTACTTTATCTTTGCCAGAAGATTTAAACTTTAAAAGCCTTGCCCTCATAATTTGCAAATTAATTTATTTATAAAGAAAATATAAACGCTGCTTAAGCTAATTCAAATGAAATTAAAAGTAAAGTAAGTAGCCAACCTTATCACTGTCTGTAACCTACTAACAAGCTAAGGAAAGCATCAGATGAGCTACCTGAGAAACTAACTTACGTTTCCCCACTTTAAAATGAAACAAACATGATGGTTCATCCTGCTGATCAGCTCTCTTCACTGCCATCGAAGGCTCCAGCGTGTTTTCTTTTCAGGTGCTGCGTCATAACAGTGGTGCTTCCGTGCCATGTTCATTTGTTTTGTTTTTTTTACAATAGTTGCATGTTACGACTTTTTTCACTTTACAAAGCGCAGGCTATTTTAATTATTGTGATCAATTTGCGCCGTCAATCCCGGGGCATGCGCGCTTCATTTGCAGTCTGGACGCTGAGGGTAAACTCCTCACTAAAATCCTGCGGCTCTGACTGCCACGCTGAGAGGGACTCCTGTGGGAGAGGGAGAAAGGCGTTGGGATGGGGGAGGCGCCCCACGGCAGCAGCTGCCGCTGGTAGGAACGATACATGCTTTCACGTAAGAGTCTCCAAAAGCCGCCAGTGACACCTTAAAAAGTCGCCAGATTTGTCGCTAGTCGCTTTTTAAAAAAATAGTCGCTGGAGGGGTCTGAAAAGTCGCTGAGTTGGCAACACTGCAACTGCGGCGCTGACTCGCTCCGCCATATTTTTTTTTTCTTCCCCGGGATGACGGCGGCGGCGGATGACGCATTAATCGCGCGACACAACTAATCGATGATTAAATTCGTTGCCAACGCTTTTAAAAGTCGATTTTTATCGATTTTATCGATTCGTTGTTGCAGCCCTACTCTCCATTAAAGAAAATTTGGAGCCGTTCACCAAACGAACGTCCAATCAGCGTTGGCTTTGAGGCGGGTTGAGGTGTGACGCAACGAGAAGCGTGACAGTTCAGTCTAAAGAACATGGCGTTAGCGTGGCTATCGAGCAAGTTTTATCGGAATTACAGAGTATTTCTTCACTGAAAGAAGAGCAAAAAACTGCTCTGGAGGCTTTTCTCAGAGGAAAAGATGTTTTTGCTCTTCTCCCGACTGGTTTCGGCAAGAGTAGCCTGGCTTGTGGTTGTGTTTTCGTCGTCGCTCTGTTAGTACGTCATCTGATTGGTTTATTTGGCCCGTCTATCACCAACATAGGCCAATCAGCTAACCAGTATTTTCGCCCCTTCCCAAAATTACTTCAACGGAAGGTTTCCAGATGGATATGCGGAGCAAATCTATCTGGCGGAGTCAGGTTAGGAAACACACAGCCAGGCAGATGAGCTCCGAGCCAGCTCCCATGTCAGAGGATGAAGAGAGCACATCCAGCCAGTCACATTCAGAGAAACAGGACTACACTGAAAAACAGGACGATCTCGAACATCTATAAACAAATGTGTTGATGGCAGAGGCTGTTAAAATTCAGTTGATTTATTTTCATAAACCCTATTTAAATTCAATCGTATTGTTTTTTTATTCTAGTTTAGTAGAATTGCTTCCCGTTACATTTATTTATTTCAGCCTGCGCAGGCATTGTTCTTCCCCACTAATATTATTCTACGATTATCATTACTGACATTCCAGATTTATTCACATGTACACAGACTCTCAATCCTTTATCTGTCTCTGAACTAATTCTTCTATTTGTGGCCAAAACAGCTGCAGATATTTTTCTGTTTGAGTTAACATCCGACTTTCAGACTGAATAAAGATGCAAAACTGCTCTCTCAATCAATTTAAACATTTAATAAATCACTTTGCTGTTGTTATTTTATTTGATCATCCTGTTCCTGTAATTTGGTCATTCAAGGCAAGACCTGCATAGTCATAAAAGACAAATCCAAAATTATTATTTTGCACTTTTTATAAAGTTATCAGTTTCTCTGTTTTGATGCACACAAACCATCTGATGCTCAGGCCTAAAGAACAAACCAGTAATCAATTCCTGGGCTGATAAAAGAAAATATAACCCTCTCAACATCAGAGATATCTATGGTGTGCAAAGATAATGACTGAACTATCGGTACCTTTATGAAGGTCAAATTAAGCCTATGACATATTTAAAAAAAGACTAAAATGTAGTAAAAAATAGCTTTTATCTTTATTTCTATTATTTCACACAGGATGGAGAAGCAAGTCTTTAGTAAATATTTTATGGTTTCATCAAAAATGACCCCCAGATTTATAAAGCCACATTTTGTTACCTTGCTAAGATCGCCATGGTGCTCTCTAATGCCAGGGGTAGCACGACCTGGGGCAATAATCCATTTTATTTGAGAATAATTCTCGACCACAATCAATCAGCCAATGCTTGAAATATAAAAGGCTGTTTATCAGTGAACTCAAGCGATGACCGCAGACGTCTTAAAGCATCTGGAGATTATATTTCAGACTGTTTAAATGCACTAACCATAAACAGGGAATATTTATCAGTGGTTTGTATGACGTTCTACGAATACTAAGCGTCAAGATGATCAATTTCATTGGCTCTGACAGAAAGATGGAAAGCTTGGAGTCTGTAGAATTTAGAGTTTGTATCACAGCTTGAAATGTTTTATTGATTCCTCTAATATAAAACCACAAGGCTAGCCAACAATGAACATTGATATATCTGGCTAAATAATTCACTCAATGCATCATTAATTCAGGAATTTTACATTAAAAACAGATCCAAGGATGAATCCAAGGATTGTGTAAAAAAGCTGCTTCTTAACGCCAAGCTAGCGTCCGTCTTCTGTCAAGCTCCTGGTTATCGGCTGAACACACATTACCTTAAACACGTGAAAAGCCTCAAACTGGATGTTGCGGCTCTTGTCTCGCAGCAGATTCATCATTAGCTTGAGATTCTCTGGCTTGCTGATATATTTTGTCATTATGGTGAAATTGTGCCTGTCGAGGAGCAACTCGCCGAGCAACTAAAACATTTCAGAGAAAAAGAGACAAACAAAACATTAATAAAAGACCCAGTGATATAAATTAACTAAACAACTTTGACCTTTTTAGATCCTTTCCTAACATTCAGGTTTAAACGTTTTTTTAAAACCATAATTATCATGAATATTGTAAGAATAATAATGAAACATCAATCTGAGGTGAAATAAATATAAATTTAGAAATCAGTTCAAATAACCACCAATCTGCACAGCTAACGTAAGCTTTAGTGGTTCAGTGTGTAGTTTATTGTCTAGCCACTAGAGGGCAGAAATGGATCGATTCATTTAGAGAAACTCAACCTCTTCTTTAAATAGCTGTGCTTTACTAGGAGACCTTTTTTATACGCTCAACCTGGGGCCCTTACCTTGAGGGACTGCCGTTTAGTCACGTAGTTTTCTGAGTGCAGCAACTTCTCATATTCACTGAAAAACTAGAGGAAGAGGAAAGCAAAGGACAGGGTAAACAGCCGTGGTTAGAGACGAAAGGCTGATCAAGACCAGACTTTCACAACATTATCTCCGTCTGATATCAACAACGGGGACAGAAAAGAAAACTCCCACACAAAGTGACAGCTACTACGTGTTCCCGCTCTGCAAACTGTGCCCCAAATGGCTGATCTGGACATGCTAGAAGGAAAAGTTGGCGACAAGCTGGTCAGACAGACCAAGTGTTCATCTGCAGCTCTTTAAGTTCTGAGTTTCAATGAGAAAAAAAAAGAAAACTAAAAAAGTTGAACAAGCAGCAGTCTTTTCTTCTATAACTGTAAAATAATGAACATGAATGAACTATTTTCACATTTAAAACCTGAAATTGTTCCTGTTTAACTCCTAAACTTTAACTATTTGCTGGGTTTTAAGTATGTGAGGACTCACTTTGTCGTAATGTTGCTCCAGAAACTCGGCACTCAGTAGTTTGTGTCTTGTGAGAAGGTCCTGAAAGCAGGAAAAAAAAAATATATAAAATACTTTGAACTAATCAGCATTAAACACAATGTAATGACCAGTTTACAGTTTGATTTGTTCTTTAGAAAACATGCTCTGTGCTAGAAGGTGAAGAAATAAATCCCGGGAAATGGTGTTATTATACTATATATATATTATACTTAAGAGAGAAAAAAGGTGTTTTAGCTGCTTTGGTAAAAAATACTTAATCTCACTCATGAAGCATATTTATTGCTGAAATTCAATTAATTTAGAATCTAAAAGAAGAGATTCTGCCTTAAATTCGTCGGGAACAACTGTTCCAACCGCCGCATTTCTGAAATCTCCCAAGTGATGCACGACTTTACACGAGTGAATGCGATTGGTCGTTTATCAAGAGGACGGGATTGTTGTGGCGGAAGGTCCGCAACAAGTTTGATTGATGTAATAAACCTCTGTCTACTTCATTGAAAAAGTTTCCAAGCAGCAAACAAATCAACATTGGCTGCTCAAACACACAGCAATGTTTCTTAAATAAAGAGGTGAGGATGAGATAATAATATGAGCGCATCTTCAGCAGGATTTTCCCCCTCAGCTAAAATAAGTAACTGACTTACTTTGAAAGTGGCAAATGCATCTGAGGCGATGTCAAAGGTGGACATCTCCACGTATCTGAAGAAGTCGTAGAACTGATCCGACCACAGAGTGATCTTGGCCAGGGGTTCGTGTCTGATGCACTCCCTCAGCATGATGCCGCAGTTCAGGGCGATGTCTGGGGACTCGTACCTGCGGGGCAAAAACAGCTCTTTACAGCTTCACACTTTTTAACTGAGGCAAGCAGCATTTTAAAGGGAGAGTTGAGTCGGAAAAAAGAAAATCTGGTAGTAAAATAGAAGATTTAGATGCAGAGGAAAAGTGGAGAATTACTGATTTTTAACTAGAAAAGCACAAGCTGGAAACTTAAAATTCCTATCTTTTTTTTGTTCATTAAACACACCAAACAGGAAAGAACAGGTTGGGCAAACGACACTCTTTTAAACAACTGCTTAGCTACTGTTCTTATGATTAAAAAGATCTAAGGAATTTGTTTTATAAGAGATTACAGGCTGAAAACTTTGAGACCATTAAAAAAAAAACTAGAAAAAAAAAAAATAAATAAAATAAAAAGAATTTAGAGTTAAATAAAAGCATTCTTGTGTGGCTGCTTACCCTTTCAGCAACATGAAAAGGATGTTTTGCTGGGTACACAGGTACTCTACAGTAGGTGTCCGAGTACCAATCTGGCGCCTCAAGATGTTGTTGAAGATCTGTGCTACATCTTTCTTTCCCTGTTGGTGACAGAAAAACACATGAACTCCTATTAAAGTATATACTACAAACAAGCAAAGCTTAAAATCTTTTATTTTTCTTTGTTTTTTTAATGGACTGTCATTTTATTATGAGTTGTTTTTATAACTCAAAAGCTAAGTGGTGAATGTTAGCAATAATAACTTGCATAATCCATTTCTATATTCTAATCCTGGTTAGTTTAGGTTGTTCCTGAATAAAGGCTGGGGAGAAAACAGCAGCTGACAGAGAGTAGAAGCTCCAGAACATAAACAACAATTGTTCCTTTTAGACTGCAGGAAGCTTTTCTCTTAGTTCCTCAAACCTTTTTTTCCTGTAGAGCGAGCTTCAGCTAAATGCATCCTGCAGAACTGCTTTTAAAAGGCCTTTTGGGACAATTTTCTCAAAACAACTTTTCTTTATTCAGTTCCTTGTCGAAGTTTATATACCTTTTAAATTTTCTCCTATATGTTTGAGTTGTCAGTGTAGGTTTAGCACAATAAACCAATTGCACAATGATTATTTGCATGCAGCTCCATTATTATGTTTCTTCCATTCTTTTTACTTAAATTAAAAAAAAAACCTTTCCTCCAGTGCATGAGTCTCCACTCACCACTTCATTCTCATGTCATCAGTTTAAGGAGGACTTCACTTATGCATCAGGTATTTGCCAGATGCACCGTCTCACACTGCTGAGTAGCACATTGTAACATGAGAGCCCTGTCAGGAGTAGCAAGGCAGTGAAACGGTTGTTTAGATCTTATAAAGAGATGGAACTGGCTGTGAAGCCGACAGCAGAGCAGTGTGGGAAACCTTAACCTGGACAAGCTGACCTGTAGCACTTGTTTTAAAGCAGTAGTATCTAGTAGCGATTGCATCTAAACCCAGTGACGTGCGGTCAGGGGAGGCAGGTGAGGCAGTGCCTCACCAGCCATCATGGAAAGAAAGAAAATATATAATCATAAAGTAATTTAAATTGTTATATTCATCCGGTGGTTTGTACTAAAAAATATTCATTTTTCATGTAGCTTCACCAATTTCGATTTTTATTTGTTCAAAATCGCTGAATTTTCTTATTTTCCCATTCACATGCTTGGAAGCGATGCCGGTGAGGCAGCAGCGAGCTCTGCCTCACCTTGGATTGCGCAACCCCTGGCTCTGCGCTGGCTGCAAAGCGGAGAGAGCATGTTGCTGTACGGCGTCAATAAAATGGTTTAAACAAATGTAATATGTGAACTTATTTCTAATAATTTGGCTTATGTATATAATGTACAGAGCTTTTTGTCACCAACTGTGTTTGTGTAACGTGTTTCGTGTAATGAGCGATTATAAACGGCAGAGAACAAGTTCGAGGTGAGGCAGGCAGTTCTCTTGCCTCATGGCAGGGGGTGCTCAAGAGACTGAAAACATAAGGCAGGAACAGGACGGATCAAGGAAGGCTTTCTTCCCTGGCAGTGATCTCCATTGAGACAGAGAGACTTTTAAAACTGAAGGAAGATAAGGAGGACTTCTATTCATTTATAAGTAAAGGTAAGACAGTAATAACATTTATTTTGTTTTGTTTTTTAAGGAAATGTGTGTTTTGTGAGCTACAGTTTGTATGTGTAAGGATGCAGAAGTGAAACATAACCTGTAAACTGCTGTCAATCTATGCATCTATTTGCAAATCTGATTCTGATGACGTCAGTGCCTCACCAGCTATGAACCTCACCGCACGTCACTGTCTAAAACATAATCAAGCTGCAGTTTCCCCAGCTGGAAAAAATAAATAAATAAATACAACCAGTGAACAATCAATATGTGTTTAATCGTTTTGCCCACTTACAGATACTGCAGGTCGCAACAGCTCCAAAGAGATGATGCTTTTAGTTTGGATGAAAAGTCGGAATTTTTGGAGAATGTAAACTTTTGAAAACCAATATGAATTTCCAGGGAAAACACACCAGTCTCACAAACACAGCAACTGCACGGCTCTACAAGAGCAACAAAGACGACTCACTGAAGCAGAGAGAAGATTGTTTTGGGTTCTGCGGGTTTTTTTATTTCAGTTTATTGATTTTGGTTTTGCTTGGTTATTTATGCAAGTGCATCGTTTTCAAACAAAGAGTGAATGTATTTTATTTGTTGCGGATGCCCAAAATCTCTTCCAGTTGCAGTGTTACTTTTTAAACTTTATTGATCTTTGAGTTATCTTGCCTTTATAAACAATATTTAAAAAAATGGCAAAGTATGTTGCTCCGCCCACTTGGCTGGTGCAGGGATTCTATACAACATTAAACATAAATTCTTATGGTTTTTTATTTTAAAATGGCTCCTCTTTCTTCTTTTCCACAACACAGATTTGTAAAAAGCATCAGCAGGAAACTGAGCTGATCGCATGTGCAGAGTCACCACAAGTCGCACCACAATTCTTTTAATTATCTGCTTGTGAGGTAAGGAGGAGGCCACATCTAAGGTGGGTTTGCATTTGTGTTAACGCCTTTCTATATTCAGATGATGGATTAAACTGGTCTCCCAGTGGAAAAATGTTCTGCTGGGAATAAATTAAGTATTATCAGGTGAAACGGGGCTTTACACAAATTCATAAATCAAATATTCATATTAACAAATTACATAAAAATTGTTCCAGTGATACATTTTACAGACAACCAACCGACTGTATTTATGGCCTTTTGATTTCCAGCGGAAACTTTGGACGGATTGCAGAATTTAGAAAACAAACTGGAATATAAACCAAAAGAGGAATCTCACAGGATCCACCAGTTTGGGCGATATGAGGTCGTCTGTGAGATATTTCGTGAGCTGCCAACTCCTGTTTCTGCTGCTACATTGTTATGCAGCTCGGTCCTCCAAAAAACAGAAGAAATTAGACACTTGGCACAAATTGTAGGTCAGAACTATATGCCAGCGTTTTTTATGAATCTAGAAAGCGACATTTCTCCAAGTTTTGTCAGCAAAAGCTCATCAGGACACCAAAGAATAATGTGACGACCACCTACGGTCAGAGCCAAATCAGAAACAGGGGGAAGAAGACAGCTAGCATAAACTGGATGCCTGCAAACTCTGCAGCTTTTAACTACATCAGCATCATGAGGCGAGGGCTTATTTTGCACATTAACTGTGTTTTTAAAAAAGGACAGGATAAATATTGCCTTTAATACCTCTGACATTTGGAAGAAGTAAAAATAAGCACGAATTCCCTTTAACAGGAAAAATTTGCAGGTTTTATGTTTCTTCATGAGAGATTTATGTTTAACTATAAAGCCCAAAAGGATACCTTTGTTAATGCGAGACTGTATATCTTATACATAAAGGATGTTTAAATACTTTTAAATACCTAGAAGCATGTAATGTTCAATAGAAAACTTGTTTTATTCTAAAACGTGAAATAACAGGCATTAAATTATGAATTTTGCAGCTATTCTGTAGTTTCTGCTAATTTTATAATTATGTACTTTTATTCAGGTACCTGAATGAGTTGAACATGAAAATCTGCAATCAAGGAAAAAGAAACTACAAAAAAAGAGGAATTCAGAAAAATTAAAAACAGAAAAAAGCAGAATTTGTGAAAAACGGATTTGATAGGGCCCCGATGCATTCAGCATTTGGCTTCATCTTGGAGCCCAGCATAAACACAATAATGACGCTTAACTGAGCCAAACGTTCTGCAATGTTTAATATCTTCCACTTTTATTTGGTCAACTAATCACCTTGTAGAGCAAATCAACCAGAGGAACAAAGTCTCCAAAGGAACCTGTTTTCTCTAGAGCCTCCCTGGTTCATATTTAACCATCGGTTCTTCAGAGCTTTTAATCTAAAACTGATTTCCGCAGAATCACAAGAATAAAGTGGAGTCAAAAACAAATGTTTACATCCCCATCCTGTGACTGTCATGCATAATTCTTAGCTTTTGTCCTAAATAAGGATGATGTACTGGTGTAAAAGAGGAAGTGAGCGTCTGCAGCTCAGTGACTCATGCCAAGATAAGGTGAGTCACAGCAAGCTGAAGCAGCTGCCAGTGAGTTTACACACGTTCCAACGCAGGCAGCTCTGCTGTGAATACCAATATCTTCCTGCTGAGGTTCAGCAAAACATGCATCTTTATTCATGTAGAGTAAATTTTTAACAAATAATAAATAACCAACTGTCAGGGTTGAAGGCTTTACTGTATCATCTCCTCTTTTTTCACTTTCACTCAGATCAATAAATTTCTAAATCAATCATATGAAAAAAATAAAAAACAACAAATCTCACCTCGAAGTCGATGAGCTGCAGGTCTGCGATCAGCGTGCTCAGCAGGCCGCTGTTGTAGAGCTCCTGGGCTAGCTGGGCCACTGCTTCCGTCTGCGGCTCCTTCTCATTCGTCCCATACAGGATCTCCTTCATGGCTACCAGGCTCTTCGACACCTCCTCTGCAGCCTGAAATCATTCAAACATCAGCTCTGCTGCCAAACATTTTACAAACCGCCGCACATTTTAAACCAACGTTTCATTTCCAAGCTAATAGCACTGATAGCAATAAACGGTAACATAACACACTATGGATGGTTTGAAATATACAGTCGGTTTTTTTTTTTTTCATGTGTTAATTAGAATAAAATCCCGTCTAGCTGTAGAAAATAGTGTATTTAAAATAAATGAAAACATAACTAGGAACATCCCAGTAAATTGCAATCTTTATAACTCAGTTGGACATTAATATGTTGTGAAATATGAACTAAAGCTCAAACAGGCGAGATTTTTTCAGTGCTTTTTATCCAGGGCTTGATGTTAACCATCACCCGATCTCCTGGGGCAAGTAGTTTTTATTGTTGGGAGAGTATAAAAAATTTCATTGCACTTGCCCGCCTGGCAAATGCAATGAAAAGCAAAAAAAAAAAAAGTTATTTATCACTCAAAATTACTTTATAATAACCGACATTCAATGAAAACGACCCACAAGCGTTGCCGGCGCCATTTTTGTTGTTTTGTACACATTGTCGCATGATTTGAAAAAAGCCGGGTGATTTTCTGCCAGATGGCGTGATTTTTGTCCACCTTAACAAACAGCTGCATTTATTTTGTCAGGGAAAACTAATCCTGAGTCAGTTAAAAGTCAGGGAATTCTGAAATGATGTAAGACTGTGGAAACCCTGTATAAAATAACTAAAAAAAGTCACATTATATTAATAGTATTATCTTGTATAAACATACCATGACTCTAAAATAAAAGTTATTCATTTGTGACATTGACTTCTGTCTTATGATTTATCTTAAGTTTTTAAAACTTGTCAAATTTTTTTTCGATTTTTAACATTACAATTTATATTTTTTCAAGCACACAACAGTTTAAAGCAAGTTTAGTTTGAAAAGAATGTGCAGGAAGGATTGAAAAGCATGTTAACACGGTAATGTAGGCTTTAGTTTATTATCTGATGCATGCATATACACACCAGGAACCTGGAAACTTAAAAAAAAAATGAATTACAAAAAACATTTAAAAGGCAAACATGTTTCATTGATATATATACAAAAATGAATATTAGGAACTATATTTATCAAACATTAAACTGGACAAGTAAAAATTGTTTCTGGGCAAATGAAATGTGAAAGTAAAATCCTTAACGTCAACCCCTGTTATTAATGTTTTTCTTTTCTTTTACTAAGCAGGTCGGAGTTTAATAATCAGCCAGTGATCAGAAGCATGCAGCTCCAATATGTCTGATCAGTATGGACCAATGGCGACTACTGCTGCTGCTTTCAGAAACGGCGGGAGCTCAGTGGTGTTAAATAACTCCAAACGTCTAGTATTGCAAACACGTAAAAAATATAAGTACAACGGGTGAAGACAACTGTTGTGAAACACTGAAATAATAAACTCCAAACCTCAACAGGGATTTCTCATAGAGGCTGACAGACAGCGTCCTGCTCCAGAGCGGAGATGAGATCGTGTCCGAGAGCGGAATAAACCGCTGATTAATGCACAACAGATTCATGCAATCAGGTGAACTTTAGCACATATCTAATGCAGTTTAATGACTACATTTATGAAGTTTGACAAAGCATATATTACTAATCATTTATGAAAATTACAGAGGAGGTTTAGCCTCCCTAGTATTCAATGAGAAATCAGCCCAGGTATAGATACTGAACATCAGGAAATGACTTGTAGGGCTTCACTTTTCACAGTCGTCTCCCAGCCTCATTGTCTCTTCAAGCTGCACAAAACATCCCGTAGTGACAACATGAATACAAAAAAGATGTAAATGTTGTAAACAAAAAAATAACATCTTGGAATTGATGCAAAAAAAAAAAAAGAAGATGTTTGCAACCAACAACTCTTCCTGAAAAGCAATGCCAGCCTGGGAAACCAAGCAGCATTCATTTCATAGCCAAAACAATTCCACTCTGGAGTGGAGCATGGGGGTGGCTGCATCATGCTGTGGGGGACGTGTTTCAGTGGCAGGAGCTAGGAAGCCAAAGCGAGGGATGACTGCAGGAACTGCATGGTGTCCTTTAAAGGTTGCTGTAATATGGTAGAAGTATAGAAAGCCATTATGTCATATACTTTTTCCACAGAACATTTAGACCACCTTGGATTTAATTATTAATTAATAAAATTTATTCTCATTGATACTAATAGTCTGCTGGTTTCTGATTGAATGTAAATGTTAATTTTATTCTAATTTAAGCAGACCTCATTCTTAATGTTATTGTTTTATAGTATACATGAAGTTTAGTGGTTTAAGTTTTTTACTTTTACATGCGGTTACCTGGGTTCAAATCCTGTTTCATGCAGAAAGTCTGACAGTAAGTCACCTGCTTTGGGAACCCCTGAATAAGGAAGCAACCTAAAGGACACAAACTTGGTACAAAGTTGACTAACTTTAACATTATTTATGTAAGATGAGGTTATATGAAAATAGTAACTGGGCTAAAATATTTAACGACTTAAAGCACATTTTTGTTATCATGGCCAAGACTCTCATTCAGTTGAGGGAGAGCTTTTAAACTGAGGTTTGCAAAATAATAACCTCTTCATGCAGCTTTGACAGCAATTATAATCTCTTGGATATAACCCCACTATATGGGGCGTATGACTTTGGCCCATTCCTCTTCCATCCATCTTTTCCAGGGGTTCTTTTTGCTTCAATGTTTAGTTGGACTCAGTGTTGGCTCTCACTGATGGATATCTGCTGTTTGCCATTCAGCTCGGCAAAGAACTCATGCTCTTCCTCATCACTGAAGTCCTCAGACATTTTTCTTTCGTTGTTTCTTTCTTTGCACAGGTAAACAGCACATTTCTTCTTCTACGCTTGCATTATCGGCAGAGCAGACACTGAACGCGCACTTTCATCTGGTTTGGTCTGTCGCGATTTCCTTAGACTTGTGAACGCGCTTTTAGGAAATCCTATACACTACTGTTTATGCTCTAAAAGCATTCTAAATGACTTCGTTTCGAGTAAATTCTGGATGCTACCCACTCAGGACACTTGGAATACATTGGACGAGCAGTATGGAGGAATATTGACACGTTTTTTGTGGACTTTTATGGACCTTTCTGCCTCGGGCGCCATAGACCTCCGTTATTTGAATGTCAGCAGACAGCAAGAAGCCTCCCAGATCTCCAGATGCATTTGAGATATCAAAAAAGTACTCCAGAGTGTTGTTCAGCATGGGGGTGAGTAGCAAATGAAGGCTAATCATGTTTTGGGTGTACCATTCCTTTAAGTTGATTAAACACAACCAGCTCCCATGTAGCTTTCACATAATGCAGCACACATATGAAGCAGGTGTTTAAATCACCTCCTTTAGCAAAACAAAGTTATATGGATTTGTTTGGATGTTTTTAGATACCACAGAGTCTGTCAGGATACGATTTCCATTTGGGCTGGAATAATGAATGGTGAATAATTCATTATTGAGTTAGTCGACAGCTAACAGGCTACTTGGTTAAAGGATAAATTACTTCCAGCACGAATTAAGATCAAACTCAGGAAATATAAACATTCTCATTTAAGATGGCATTCATTTCAGTTAGTTTTTAGGCTTGGAGTGTCATTAAATATTTAAAATAAAATCTAGACAGGAACATCCCTAATCTTCACCACATGAAGCATCCAGGTTAGAGATGGAACGGTTTATGAAAACCGTCTGAACCGTTCGGTTCGTGTGTGTTGCGTTCGGTTCATGCGCTGCTCCTTTTTCTCATAGGCGGAGCGTGTACACTCCAGAGCAGAAGGTGGCGGTACTGCGACCAAAGCCAACCGCCTGTAGTAAACAACAAGAAGAAGCGAAGCAGCGTAGCCGGGTGTAGCAGAAAATAATCAGTTGTTGTGGAGAATTGTGTGGGTAGGGCGAGTGGGAAAGAACAGGAGTTGGAAGACGCGCCAGCAGCACTTTATAGGTCTGCTGTATGGGACCACTTTGCATTTAGAGTGACCTACGATGACGGCGGAAAGAAAGTTGTGGATAAACACAGTGTGCAAGCATTGTGCAACACGTTTTGTTTATGCTAACAGCAACACGACCAACATGTCAGGCTAACAATCAAGATATACCGAACCGAAAACCGTGACCACGAAACCCTGAACCGAACCGAACCGTGGATTTTGTGAACCGTTTCCACCCCTAATCCAGGTTGTGGTCCTGTAGTAATAAAAGAGGAAAACAGGAAGAACTCCCTGAAAGGAATCCCTTTTACCTTCTCAGCCTTTTTATCCGAGATGTCGTGCTTCTCCAGCACCGTCATGCTGTCCTTAAGGTTCTTGACGATGTCCGCCGGTGACTTGTGGGACTTGCCAAAGGGAAAAGGCATGGCGGAGCGTTACCACGAGTGACCAGGCAGCGGACAGTCCACCTTCAGAAGAAAAAAGGGAAACCAAGTGAAGATCTTTTACACCTTGTTAAACTGAGTGCAACTAGTTTACAGATATTGATTAGATTCTGATTTAAGATGCAGTTTTCCAGCTAAATATCGGATCCAGCAAAGGAAACAGTTGGGAAATGTTAATATAAATGCATTTACAGAGGGAGAGGTGTTGCACCTGTTTTACTTTACCGATAAATCTCTAAAGGTTAAATAAGTAGAGATATAATCTGGTTTAAAAGTGAATGATTAACTCTACCTCAGATCCCTCTCTGGTCAACCCAAATAAGCATTTCCAATCACAAAAAAAAGCTGAAGTCACCAAAAAATGAAAAAAAAAAACCCTAATTTATCCAGAGATCATAGAAAAAAAACCTTTGAAAATTAAATATATGACATATTAACCGTTTGTTCTGCCATGAAAAGCTGCCACAATGAGCTGCAGCCGTCACACACTTTCTCCTCTGACTTGGCAGAGTCCACATTTAGAAAGCAATGCTATGTCCAAGAATATAAGGTCAGCCTGGCAGCCAAGTTAAAGGTGTATACTTCCAGTTATATATTCATGCATGACGTGTCCTTTGTGACTAAGCTGTAACATGAAGCCGCGTCTCACTTGATGACCCGTGCGCTTTCTGACATGCTAACATCTTTACTGACCCAGGCGCGCCTCGTCTTCAGCAGGTGGCCAAATCCGTCTTTTCCACAGAGCTAATGCTGGTTAATGCATTCGTCGAGCTGCAGAACCGCCTCTCTACTCTATCTTGGCCCACTTCTGTATCAGTGACGCAAATGAGGAGGAAACGCATATGGCAGGTTCAAGACATGCAGGTCAACACTCATGCATGGTTACTCCTTTACTGATCAACCTGTGGGAAAGCAAAAATCCTCTGATACATCAGGGGGGGGAAAACCCCAAAAAAACTTCTCCATACTATAGCGCACTTCCTTTACTGATTCACATTATAACCAGATAAGAGAGGCTCCTTTTTGCACGTAAAATAAATAAATAATGAGAGAAAATTTTACATTTATGAGTAGGAAAAGGTTTCAAGTTTTGATTCAATTCAAAAATACTTAATTGACCCCAAAATGGGAATAAAATTAATATATAAAAGGGTCTATATGTTAAAACTACAGTGTCCAAACTGTGCACTGTTAGCAAGATGGATGAAAGAGGAGGCCCCAACATTTCCCTTAATCACATAAAGACAAAAGATTTGGTCATTTGGAAATATTTGTGTCCGGAAGCTTTAAGATGTGACCCTGGTCCATCACACATGCATATAAAAACCACATTGCTGCACCAGCATGCATCCCTATTCTGAGGAATCCGGTTAATGATCAGATATGATGAACACAGACCTTTAAAAACATGCAGTACAACAGCTGTTTATTAAGATAAAGGTTCTAAAACCACAGCTGGAAAAAATATACAAACATCCCACAAACTTTGACAAATGCATTCAGCTGTTATAGAACATTTTTGCTCCTGGACATCTAAATTGATTATAAATTGTTTACTGTTGATGGCTGATGATGTGTCCTTTATTTGGGGGTCGCCTTTGCAACTCATTACGACCTCCTCAGTGTTTTTAAATCTGTGACCTCCATATTACAGTGTCCACAGCTCAAAGAATCCTCTTGTTCCTTAGATGGCTGGATTAAAAAATAATGAAAGCTGAGCTCTGATCATTTTGAAACAAGCATGGATACCAGTTTACGGTTGTGAAACTCTGTATTTTGGTCCTATAAAAGCCTAATGTTCCTAGAAGGTGTTCAAAAAGTTTATTATCCTGTGCTTAACCCTTTATAGGGCGCTCAGTCAAATGCTTTGAACATCTACATTTCAAGCCAATAGTGTTAATGGAATCCAGGACAAATCCTTATTACCTTTGTTACAATAAAAACAATATATAGATATTTTTATGACACAAATTTATTTCAATATAATAAAAAGAAATGCCAACTTGCCCGAATATATTAAGAAAAATAACAAAAGCAGTTGTATAAAAAAATCATGAAAAACACTCCGAGAGTGAAGGAAACATTTTTTTTTTGGTACAACATAACCTTAGAGGCATTAATGGTGATACTGGAACTTGCATTTTTTAGTTTATAAACCAAAATATATATATAGATATACATACATACACACTCAAAATAATATATAATAATGAACTGAAAAAGCTTCCTGGATGGGAAGCGAATTATCTTCAAACCTGGAAACAAAGTCCAGTGGTTTGTTGTTTTTTTTATACTTTTTTGGATGACTGAGAATCTTCACTAGCATTAACATAAATATAATTGTTAACTAGGCTTATTAACTTTTCAATTAACTTTTTACTTCTTTTTTTTGGACTTTTTTTTCCCCCCAGTAGGTTATAAATCATTCAAGGGCTCATCTAATGGGTCAAATGCCATAATAAAATGTACAGCCATGTAGCAGTACCTTAGCTGAATGGCTGGATATAGATCTTGTGCTTCTAGACCTCACTGAGGGGTTGGAGGGGAATCAATTTGTAAAGGGTATGCAAGTGATGAAAAAGGCTAATTTGCCCTATAAAGGGTTAAAATGACCTCAAGAAGCAGCAAGGATGGAAAGGTTTAACTTTGAATAGAGGATGCTTTCAGGTTGAAGATCATTTGGACAGAGAGACACATACTGGGGTTCTTTCAATGCATTTTTGTTGACTTTTTAATGTAAACACCATGATCTTATTACGGTAGATCTTTTTCATCATCTTTTACATCCACTCAGTCCTACAGGACTTCCTCTATCAAAGCCCCAGAACAGGAGCAGGTTCTCCACAACCCATCTGACTCAGTGAGATGTATTACAGCTAGATCTGTAAACTTCAGACTCTTCTTTTTGTTTAATCTAACATAATACATCAGCTTCTGGTAGATCAGCACAGGGCCCTGGTATCAGAGTGCCATGGAGCTGACAGTGAGCACCGCCCATCCGTGGTCTCCATGCCTGCTTAGTGATGGTGTGGAGCCTGGGTGGAGTCACTGCTGTGCAAATTAACAACGCAGCTTAAGCTGAGGTCAACCGGCCTCTATACCGTTTAGCTGACATCTGCTCGCAGCCTACCGTGGCCTTTAACCTCTCAATCATTGTCAGCAGAGCTATGGCTGCAGCAGGGTAGCATCTGGAAGAGTCTGCTCTCGGCAGGCAGGAGAGGCCACGGCTGGCTAAACTCCAAGATAAACATAAAAGGAATAAGCGGAATAAAACGGCCTGTGCACATTTTATATAGCTAAAGTTAATGCGCAGAAAACGGTTAGGAAGCTAGCTTAGCCTAAAGCTAACAGGCCTAGCAGCGGTGAAACCCATGCCTGTTTAGCAGCAGGCCAGCTTCACCCAGCCCAGCTCTGCTTCCAGTTCAGTTGTATAAAAGTAAAATAGAAATACCTTTTGGGTGACGTTTTCAGTGTATTTTCCGATATGTTTTGGACTGCAAAAGGCAACTCGGGTTCTCCGTGGAAGAAAAGGGGCTTTGTTTTGCTCGCAGGTCAACTCCCCTTATCTCACTGTTGATAGTTGTGCGTCGGTCCCTGTTACCTCCTGGGTTTTTCTTAGCATAGCAGTCGTGGCTGCAGCAGCGTCCTACTGCCATCTCTGGCCGCTCCATGTTAAGGCAACAACGTAGGTTTCTTCCTGCAATAACTATAGATGGCCACACGAGGGAGCCATTGTACCGTTACGTCTTCTTCTTCTAGAATTTGTTTTGCCGGTTGGCAAAAACGTTAGGTGAGCATTACCGCCACCAACTGGTAAGGTTTGTGGACCACATGAAGAAAACAAACAAAACATTATATCCTGACATACAATTTAAACTGTTTAAAAAAAAAAAAAAAACAACAACTATGAAGTTATATCTTCTGTTTCCTGAATCAGTTTACAGTAAATCACAATGTGAAGTTTCATTTTCATATTACCAAGTTTCCTATTTAACTTGTTTCTCTGAATCCAATATTTTAGTTGTGAAATAATTATCTCTTCTCTTCTGTTCCTTTCTATTCTTCTCATTAGTCCAATTCTCTTTTGGATTTTACACAACCAACTTCCTTTCTGTTCTTCTTCCCATAACTTTTGCCACATCTCTTTTGTTTTTTTGTTTAATTATACCCATTATTTCTGTTCTTCTAAAGCTAACATTAATATCTATCCTTACCTTATTTGTACTCTCCTTAGCCATCCTGTCAACCGGCCATTTAATTTCCCTTAATCTTATTATGTGCCGGAACCCAAACAAAAATTACTACTAGCCCCATCATATTTATTCTGTAAAGTGTTTGTTGTATTTCAATTTATATATCTGACTCTGACTTAGACAGATTTATTTTGTCATTTTGTATACACAAGTGTATACAAAAAGAAATTTCGTTTAAAACTGCTCTAGAAAATTTCATTTTTTTGAAGTGCAGCCTTGAGAACAGTAATAAATACATAAAACAAGTAATATAAACATATAACTGTATATTTAGAGTTCTAACATTATTATTATTATTATCATTGACACTATGGAGTCTTTCCGCTTCCTGGGAACTATCATCTCCCAGGACCTAAAGTGGGAGCTGAACATCGACTCCCTGACCAAGAAAGCCCAGCAGAGGATGTACTTCCTGCGGCAGCTGAAGAAATTCAACCTGCCCAGGACAATGATGGTGCAGTTCTACTCCTCCATCATTGAGTCCATCCTCACTTCCTCCATCACCATCTGGTACGCTGGTGCCACCGCTAAGGACAAGAGCAGACTGCAGCGTGTCATCCGGTCTGCAGAGAAGGTGATTGGCTGCAACCTCCCATCTCTCCAGGAGCTGCACGCCTCCAGGACTCTGAGGCGTGCAGGGAAGATGGTGGCTGATCCCTCGCACCCCAGTCACAAACTATTTCAGTCACTACCCTCTGGCAGGAGGCTGCGGTCCATCAGGACCAGAACCTCCCGTCACAAAAACAGTTTTTTCCCATCTGCTATCGGCCTTATCAACAAGGCCAAGACCCGCCCATGACACTGGACAATGTTTCTCTCCCCCATTCAGGATTTCTGCGTTACATTAACGCACAGTCTACTGTTTGTATATAGCTTCTGTGTATATATATATATATATATATATATATATATATATATATATATATATATATATATTATATCTTATTTTGTTATTTCGTTTTGTTTTGTTTTTTTTTGTCTGCACCAACAACACCAAGTCAAATTCCTTGTAAGTGCAAACCTACCGGTACTTGGCAATAAACTTGATTCTGATTCTGATTCTTTCAAGCAAACATTCACACTTCACACATAAAAACACATGAAACACATAAAATATTTTGAAAAGATAAAAGTATGGTGGACAAATAAATAGATATGTGCAGTGCAGAGGATGAATAAAAGCGTAGGCTTCTATACATGAAACATATGACTATTTGCTGTTTTTAATAATGTTCTTTAATTTGATATTTTCTACAAATAATAAAAACATGCTCCATTGGTTCTACATTATCACACCAACTACAAAAACCAGTAAGATAAGTCCCCATCTTAAAAAGATTTCCATTTAAAAACCTGGGACTGTGGTGGTTTTCAATGGTAGAATGTCAAAAAATCAGGACACCTTCAGTCGATCATCTGATTGCCCCAGGACGGGAGAAGAAGCGTTTATTTTATAGATCAAATTGACATGCTGTCCTCAGTACACGTAACACAGCGCTGAACATTTCAACAGAACACATCTAGCTTTTCTCAACTTCTCATTCAAATCTGGGCGTTTATATAGTTTCAACATTGCACTGTGTGGATGTATGTGCACGACTGGACGCTCTGATAAAATTACCTGGAAGTTCTTGGCCTGTGACCGGATTGCGTGCGAGTGGGCTTTTAAAGACTCTGTTTTTCAAGACTTGTACTTGGCTTCAAGCCTGTGAACACTTGTTATTGCCAAGATGTGTACGTGGCTTCCAGACTGCTTGCTCTGTGTTATCAATTATTGTGAGCTTAAGGTCACGATGACCTAGGGCAACACAATTCGCTTCTACAGGACCAGTTCTTATTCTATTTATTATTATTTATACAGTCACAGTACCGTGAGCTCTATTAGAATATGTTGCTACTCATTGAATATCTTTGCAATTCTGCGCTACTTACAAAAATACAATAGAATAGAATAGAAAATCCCTTTATTTTCCAACAATGGTTGAATTCTGGTGTTTACAGCAGCAAAAAGGTTATAGAAAATGAAGAAAAACAAATATGGGCCTTTAAAAAATGTATAAGAACAACATAGTGCTGAAGAGTTAAAAGATAAACAATAAAATACTGTACTGTAAAGTGTTTTAACAATATAAAAACTGTGCACCTGAAGAATAAATAACTAATATAAAGCTATGGACATTTTTTACAATAATGGATATTTGAAAACAGCAGCAACATCAGAGATGTGCAAAATGACAGCAGCATGTTATTTAATTGACAAAGTTGAAACTGTCCAAAATCAGCGGAAATATAACTTATTGAGGTTGTTGGGAACAGTGATGGTATAAAGTTCTGTAGCTGCTGGGGGGAAGGATCTGTGATAACGCTCCCTGGTGCATTTAGGGTGCAGCAGTCTGTCACTGAAGGACCTCTCCAGTTCTGCAACAGTTGGGAGACATTATCCAACAGAGAAATGAATTTAGTTAGAATCCTTTAGTTTCCCACCTTCTGTCCAAAGGGCATCCAATCAGAGCTGGATATATTGTCTTTAACAATTTTATTCAGATTTCATTAAGTTTTCCACATATTTTAATGTAACAAAAACAAAAATAACATATATTTTTATTTCTGTGGAATTTAATTTGGAGGACGACAGCACAAATTCATGGGTTGGACAGAATAGCCTGTGTCTCAACAGGGTCATGGAGAAGAAAGGCTGGACTGTTTTCGATTGTCCAAGATCCTCTTTTCTGATTAAAGTAAAGTTTGTCTTTTCATTCTGGAATCAAGGTCAAAGGGTTTGAAGGAAGACCGGTAACAGAACCCAACCTGCTTTAGGTCCATTGTGAAATATCCATTGCAAGTATTGATAAAATCTGCTTTCTTAAATCCATGTTGCTGTAACAGTATACCAGAGTGCTTTACAGGACGTCATGATTCCTTTTGCTGTGGATCTGTATATAGATCCAGATTTCATTTTCCAGCCCAACCTGGACCCTGCCCATATCGCTAGAAGCACCAAAACCTGGTTTGATGGCCTCGTCAAGTGCTTGGCAGGCCAGACATCTCTCCTGACCTTAACCCCGTCGAGAATCTATGGGGTATTCTCTGGAGGAAAATAGGGGGCACTCGACTCAACAACAAAGGGGTGACTGCAAGGATCAAGAAAATCTTCATGACACATGCTGATTGCCTCAATGCCACGTCACATAGAACTTAATTCAATTAAAGTTCATTTCAATTTAAGAATACTTTCATTCAGGGAATCAAGGTCACATTTCCTTTATTAATCCAAAAGGAAAGTCCAAAGTTGCACTAACCAATGGGCAGTTTTTCAACAAGTTGTTAAAGGAGTTGATAGCTGTAGGCAAAAATGATCTTCTACAGTCTGTCTTGGACCAGATCTGGAGAAGCCTCTCGCACTTTTCTTTTTGACAGTCTTCTGAGGAGGTGTGCAAGTCACCATGGCCACGGATTTTAAGGACACACGCACATAACCTAATACCAGAGAGGCTTTGTGTATTTTAATTCGTTACATATATGCATAGGTTACAGTGGCTATATCCAATTGAACCAGAGGGAAAAAAATAACAGCAACATGGACTTTTTCACTATACCTTGAGAAAAAACTACTTACTGCAAGTGTGGAGGAAGGACAGACAGCCGACCTAAAGGAAAGCGAACAGACAAACTGTGGTTTTGCTAAAGGAAACAAATTCTGTTTCAAGTTTTTTTTTCTCTACAGTCTAAAACATCATCTCTGGTTTGATTTGACTAAAGTTTATATCTTTTCTTTTCATGATGTACATATATTGAAACTTATTCCAATACTGTCTTGACAAGTTTGCCACAATTTTCTCCTAATTCATTACATCAGTTTACATGTACTTCTACAGTGAAATTTTCAGTGCAGCTGCTGCTGTATAGGCACCAATCTGTCTCTAACTGTACAGAAGATGTCTAACCTAAACCATCATATAAAACCAAAAATACAAACATCACAGGCTGGAATTCCTTATATTAACACCATTCTGAACTTACTGGACCTGACATCAACAGATTAAGTGGCAACACAGAACAAACAATTTGTCCCAGCAGTTCATATGCAGTGCGTAAAGCAGTCCATGTCCTGTGCCTTGAGTAATGCTGCATAAGCAGGAGTATTTGGAAAAGTAGGCCCAATCTAAAAATTGGCCCCTAAGCCCTACACCTACTCACTAACCCTCTGTTTGTGCGTTTTCAAGGCCAAGGACCCCCAAACTGATGGTGAGATGGAGCGGGGACCCCTAATTATATATATTGTATGAAATCGTATTATATCAAACTGGTCCTATAGTCACTCTATTACAGATGGAGTAATGTAACAAAAGTAATTAAAGTATTTCTGATTCTGATTCCTTGTTGATGGGACAGGTGTTGTGAATGAAATGGTGCCCAGCTTGAAGGAGCTCCTGTGTGTTGCTGAATGTGTGCATTGATGACTGGAAGACATCATCTGCCTCCATTTATCTGTTTACTACAGTCGCAGACCCCCTGTTGAAGACCTTTGGTTTAGCCCTAAAATAGAGACTTTGCATCATTCAGACTCAATGGCTTTGTCCCAAACATCCACCCTAATCACTAAATAAGGCACTTTATAGTGGATATGCCATTTTAGACCAGTGTCAGAATGTCTAGTGGATGAAAAAGTAGTGGACTCAAAGTTTCCCACAATGCTCCATGAAAATTAGTGATCATTGATGGTCACTAGACGAGCAGATATATCCCAGATTGCTTTGCGTGTGCTCTCCTCGCCAAGCATTATGGGATTTTGTGTAGTGGCTACAAATAAAGACGGCGCAGTCACATGTGGAGAGGCGGAGTTATGTGACCAACAGGAAGAGAAAAGCAGTGATCATCTGTGTGAACGGTCAGTTAACGGAGTTCATTTTAAAGTCCCCGCTCTATATAATGATTAAGGGATTTAGGGGTTAGGGCAGACATTCAGTATAAAAAAAAAAAAAAAGATCATACTTGCCCTGGGACATGTAACGAGTTGGAACCAGGCTAACCCCAGGCTCACACAGACTCCGGTCTTACCGTTGCTGTGCGGTGGGTGCGGCGCCGCAGTGATTCCAAGTCCTTAAAAAGACGTAAACCTCTCTCACCAGCTGCTGAGCTGTCCGGCTGCGGTTACCGAGACACTCCGGCGCTGCAGAAAATTCCGCAAGAAAGCTATCCTTGCGGCGTGCCGGAGAACCTCCGCAACAAGCTCTCGCAAATATCCTTATTTGGGCCGTGTTATCGCGTGAAGTTACGTGAACTCAAGTGAACTTCTGTTAAATCTCCGGACTTGTTGCCGGAGCCGCAGAGCCGCACCGCACCGTAGTCAAAAGGGCGGTGTGAGAGGGGGTGTGCGGGAGTTGCGGTCTCCGTCGGCTCGGTAACCGCACCGGAGCCAGTGTGAGCAAGGGGTAAATGGCTGTTAAAGGTTACAGACCTCTGATCTAGAAGTTAAATATAGATGCATTTCTCTGAGTTATTTGAGGATGTTTATCTTATTCAGTGGATAACTCAAGAGTACATACAAGATTTTAGGTTTCAACAAAATTGTTTACTAACAGCCAATCACAGTGCTACCACACCCCTCACATACTGGGCATTTCTAATGACAAAGATGTGAGTTAGGAAAGGTACATATTTCTTTATTTGAATGCATTTTTTCATGTATTACATTGATGTTTATGGTAAAAGCCATTAGCAAAAATTATCTCTATGCCTCTTTTTCATGGATACAGACAAATATAGTGATTCCTCCTGGCATACACATGTATAGGTGTAAAATGAAAAATACAAAGCTCATTAAGATAGACTAAATCTACCGTAGGTTAAATCTCAACAACTTTGTTTTATATTCCTTTGTGCAGTTTGGCGCCTCCACAGTGTTACTGAAGTCTGTTCATGGAAAACCTCAGAGGCCCAGAGCTTCTTTCTTCACGCTGCAGCCCAACAGTGTATTTCCAGCTTCCACACACTCCGACACACATGGAGCTGAAGGGAAAAATTATTGATTGGTATTAGTTTTGCTCATAGTTTGAATTTTTTTAATCACACACTGTGAATAACAGCAGTATCCTGCTGATATTACCGTTCTGAGCTTTAATCCATGATGCAGCCTTCATAGACAGAAGCTCCCACTCCTCCTTTGCATCCAACTTAAAACCATGAAGCCAAATCAGAGCTAGAATAGAGGCCCACACCTCATTCTTGACCTAATTTACAAACACACAGAAATGGTTAATTTCAAGGTTTGTTTGATATTGGATTTTAGTTTCTTTTAGGTATTCTATGAAATCCTGCCACGTTCACATGCTAATAATTATCACTTTATTATTGATCTATAAAGAATAACACAGAAATATTAAGAAGTGAGATATAAACTTATATGCTTGGTTTTACTATTTTCAGTTTGGTAGTTACTGTTAAATCTAATCTATAGAACTTTGTGGTAATATTGCTGATTAAGTTTTAAATGTTTAATAAGTATTTGATTACTACAGGCTCAACATTGAATATGTCTTTGGCTCAATTTCAAAACAGGAAAAAAGTCCTAGATTCAAATATTGCACAGTCATATCTTTTTTGAGTTTTAATAATCCATTCAAGCATGTGTTGGGTCTTTCTTTGTACTATGCTTTCTTCTTTCAGTGCAAAAACATGGACGGCAGACCACCTGGCCTCCAAGATGTTATCAGATGTGATTGCATGTTTGTTTTTGTTGCATCTTATTTTTTAAAATGTCATAAAAAACAAGTCATAAAACCATTAGATGCAACCCTGAACATTACGAAGAAAGTCCTGACAATCAATAGAAATAGTAATTTTCACTGCTAATAATTTTTTTTACATCGAATATTTCATGTGGGAATTCTTTGAAATTAAATTTAAAAATACTAGTGTATTTGAGGGTGACCCACCGTTGCTGGCTTCGCCTTTTCCACCTCGTCGCTGGGCTTTTCCAGCACAGCAGCCAGATCTTGATCAAGCAGCCAGTAGCCAGCAGCCTTCTGCAAGGAGATGAGCTGCAGCAGAGGCTCTTTAAGGGGTGGCAGGTCTCGAATTTCTTCTACCTCAGCTTCATCTGGAGATGAAGAGGAAGATTGATACAAGTCTAAATACCACTGAAACCAAGCTGTTTTATCACTCTGACAGTTATACTGTAAATTCCAACCAAACATAAATAGGGAAAAAAATAATTGTGATTTTGATGCAAAGTACTGCAAAAATAAAATTTTCAAATAATATGCAGACACTGTTGTTTGTTTTTCCAGATACATTAAATTAAAATGTATTTTTTAAATCAATCTTTGGTTATATGAATTGATCTTCAGGGATGTTATGCTACAACAACCTGTTGAAGGAGGTGGTCACATTTTCCTGCTTCTCTGCAACTCCCTGATCTCCCTGATTTGTTCTTGCTTTGCTGTGTCTTATCGTTTCTGAGCTCTCTCTTTATATCACCCGAACTCAAACAATGGATCTTGTCAGCTGGTCTCTCAATGTAATTGATCAAATTTTCTCAACTGAAAGATATGGAAAAGGGGACCCGTCTTGTCCTGCTGTGACATACTTCTAGGATACACCATGGACTCCTGGAAGGCTTGGAGGATGGTGTGTTTTACAATGCTGTCACTGGAAAATATCGAAGATGTATGGATTTCCAGATTTATGATACTTGGATTTATCCTGTTTGGATTTGGAAGATACATGATGTATCTCCAATAACAGCAATCTGGGCATTGATCAGGCTCCCGGCAGCAGTTGATGCGCTCACAAAGGCTGTGAACGAGCAAGATCGGGAGCTGAGCCGTATGCTGGTTGCGATTGAACACAGGCTGGCTGCGGTGGTTGAACTCAAAGGTAAGATGGGATAATATCTTGGATTGCATGCTTGCTTCAAAGTGGAAAAGCCCAATACATTTGGAATATTGGATTTGCCACAGAGAGCCTGCAAGAAAAGACTCAAGGTTGACGGAAAATTCCTGTGCAGCCTGCTCTCAAAACAATAAGTGTTATTCTGGATTTGGCCTCACTCCCTTATCAAAATCTCCCCTGGATGTTATAGCAAAAGGGCACAGAAGAACTGCTGCCCCCTCCCCTACCCGCGAACATCTGTGGATGTGCCCAGAACTGTAGTGCCAGTTGATAAACTTCCATCTCATCAAGGACAATGGCTTGTGGACAGCTACATGTCCCATGGACTGATTTTAATTATAGCTGTGTTTAAAAAAAAGAAATTTAAAGGAATAGTACACCCAAAACATGATTAGCCTTCATTTTCTACTCACCCCCATGCTGAACAACACTCTGGAGTACTTTTTTGATATCTCAAATGCATCTGGAGATCTGGGAGGCTTCTTACTGTCTGCTGACATTCAAATAATGGAGGTCTATGGTGCCCGAGGCAGAAAGGTCCATAAAAGTCCACAAAAAACGTGTCAATATTCCTCCATACTGCTCGTCCAATGTATTCCAAGTGTCCTGAGTGGGTAGCGTCCATAATTTACTCGAAACTAAGTCATTTAGAAGGTTTTTAGAGCATAAACAGTAGTGTATAGGATTTCCTAAAAGCGCGCGCCTGCGAGTTCACTAGCCTACGGAAACCGCAGCAGACCAAACCAGATGAAAGTGCGCATTCAGCTCGGCAAAGAACTCATGCTCTTCCTCAACACTGAAGTCCTCAGACATTTTTCTTTCGTTGTTTCTTTCTTTGCACAGGTTAACAGCACATTTCTTCTTCTACGCTTGCATTATCAAGAGCAGACGCTGAATGCGCACTTTCATCTGGTTTGGTCTGCTGCAGTTTCCGTAGGCTCGTGAACTCGCAGGGACGCACTTTAATGAAATCCTATACACTACTGTTTATGCTCTAAAAACATTCTAAATGACTTTGTTTCGAGTAAATTATGGACGCTACCAACTCAGGACACTTGGAATACATTGGACGAGCAGTATGGAGGAATATTGACACGTTTTTTGTGGACTTTTATGGACCTTTCTGCCTCGGGCACTATAGACCTCCATTATTTGAATGTCAGCAGACAGCAAGAAGCCTCCCAGATCTCCAGATGCATTTGAGATATCAAAAAAGTACTCCAGAGTGTTGTTCAGCATGGGGGTGAGTAGAAAATGAAGGCTAATCATGTTTTGGGTGTACTATTCCTTTAAAAATTTTTTTTTAAACACAGCTATAATTAAAATCAGCAAACAAGTTAATATAAATCTGATATAAAGCTGCACAGATTGAATATTTTGTGCTTTGCTGTGGATTATCTTTTGTGTTTTTGAGCCTTTAATTATTTGACCTACCTGAACACTGAAGAAGATAGAAACATTAGAAACATAACTGTTAGTAGTTTTTTTAGCATTTGGAAAAGTCTTAAACCACAAAGAAAATAAATAACTTAAAGATCTTGTTATAAAACATTTGGTTCCTGAGACAACAACTTGATATTTTTATTAGTTATAATATCATCAATAGTGAAAGAGATCAAAGAGTAAAATAAAATAGAATATTGTGAAAAAAAAATTAGAAGCACAAAATAGGCTACTGGTATGAAATTAAAGCATGCAGTCAAACAGTGACTGGGCAGCAAATCTATGTGATTATTTCGTATCTGCAAAATATCGTTTGAGATTTGGTGTGAATTATCATTAATGTTAATTGATTATTTCATAAATTTCATAAATGATCAATAAATAATTTACTGATCATATTTTTTAATTGCAGTGATCTATTAATGATAAAGCTGTAGGAGAGCTTTACTTACCCATACGTGCAGGAAAAAAACAAGGAGTAGGCATCATGGGCGCTAAATCAGAGAAGATAACAGTTTTAGTCTGACATTGTAAATACATCCCTGAATACCAATCTAAACACCCTCTAGATGGACTCAAATCAAATTTAGGTCTCACCTCTAATGACCTCTAAATTCAGACCAGAACTGGTCGGATTTTATCAATTGAGTTGTAATATGCAGTGAAGACGAGGACGACTGTTGAAACCTTCTAAATTAGCAAAGATTACAGTTGTATTTGCAGTCAGTGGAAATGTTTTTAAATTTTTTTTTTTTTGTGAGCTGCTTAAAACATATTAATGCAACTTTGGAATATTTCCTAATTTGGCTACATTTTCTATTTTCCTTAATTAACAATAAGAGACTCAATCCAGATTGTAGCTGATATTGCTGTAAAAAAAAAAAAGACGTTTTTTTTTTAAAGTAAACCATCTTTAAAGATCTCTCAAGATTTAGAATAAATTATTTTTAATTCAATCAGATCCAGTTTGTTCTAAAACTGGATTGTTATTTTTACCTGAATTCCATGAGTGTATGGTTATGCAACATATAGATACTAGTATTACATTAACATTACACAGAACAAAATACTGTAAACAAAGAAATGGCCGTTAATGGGACCTGTTAGGAGAATAAAAAATTTATTTTTTAGAAATCAATCTTTTGTTATAGGAATCGATCTTTAGGGATGTTATGCTATAAGCTATGATATTGATTTTAGACATTCAGAAACAATGAGAGTATAAATATGATTTGATTAAATAAGATTTTTTCATCACAACACAATCAGGGGTCCACTGGGTGGGCAATAAATATATCATATTGCCATAACAAGAATTCATATACAAATCTTTATTTATTTTTTTAAAAACAGCTATAATTTAAATCAGCAAACAAGTTTATATAAATCTGATATAAAGCTGCACAGATTCAATAATATTCTGTGCTTGGCTGTGGATTATCTTATTTCTTTTTGAGCCTTTGATTATTTGACCTACCTGAATCTTGAAGCATTTCAGGGGTATCTAAAGAGGGTTAAAAAAGACGATAGAAACATTAGATTCATAACTGGTGATTGGTTTTAAGCATTTGAAAATGTTTCAACCCACAAAGAAAAGAATAACTTAAAGATCTTGTATAAAACAATTGGTCCCTGAGACAACAACTTCATATTATTATTAGTAGTAGTAGTAGTATCATTAATAGTGAAACTGATTCATTTATATAATGATCATGTTTTTCAACTTGAGTGTTTGAAATACCAGGAATTTTCTTTAAATGGCTGATTGTATGGACATTGAAGTTTTAATGTACACAAATCTGCTTCTGTAAGAAGTAAAATAAAATAGAATATTGTGAAAAAAAATTAGAAGCACAAAACAGGTTACTGGTTTAAAATTAAAGCATGCAGTCAAACAGTGACTGTGCAGCAAATCTATTTGATTATTCTTATCTGCAAAATATGTATGAGATTTGGTGTCAATTATCATTAATGGTAATTGATTATTTAATAAATTAAAAAAAACATTATCAATAAATTATTTATTGATAATGTTTTTCAATTGCAGTGATCTATTGATGATGAAGCTGTAGGAGAGCTTTACTTAGCCATAGATGAGAAAGAACAACCAGTAGGCGTCATGCGCCCTAAAGACTTTTAGTCTGACATTGTGAATACATCCCTGAATACCAATCTAAACACCCTCTAGATGGACTCAAATCAAATTTAGGTCTCACCTCTAATGTCCTCTAAATTCAGACCAGAACTGGTCTGATTTTATCAATGTGAGTTGTAATATGCAGTGAACACGAGGACGACTGTTGAAACCTTCTAAATTAGCAAAGACTACAGTTGTATTTGCAGTCAGTGGAAATTTTTTAAATATGTTTTTTTTGTGAACTGCTTAAAACATATTAATGCAAATTTGGAATATTTCCTAATTTGGCAAAATTTTCTATTTTCCTTAATTTACAATAAGAGACTCAAAGTTATATTTTTATTGCATTTAATTTAACTACTTTTATCTCTGGTCAAACTTAATCTTACTGGCCTATGACATTTTTTTCTATTTTTTTTACCAAACCATCTTTAAAGATTTCTCAAGATTTAGAATAGATTCTTTTTGATCCAAGTGTAAAAGTATTGGCTGAAATAAACAAGTTTGAAATACCAGGAATTTCCTTTAAATGGTTTATTATATGGACACTGAAGTTTTAATGTACACAAACCTGCTTCTGTAAGAAGTAAAATAAAATACTGTGGAAAAAAACTGGCTAATGGTTTGAAATTAAAGCATGCAGTAAAACAGTGACTGTGCAGCAAATCTATGTGATTATTTCTTATCTGCAAAATATCGTTTGAGATTTGGTGTCAATTATCATTAATTTTAATTATTTAATAAATTTGAAAAAACATTATCAATAAATTATTTATTGATAATGTTTTTCAATTGCAGTGATCTATTGATGATGAAGCTGTATGAGAGCTTAACTTACCCATACCTGTTGCAGAAAAACAATTAATCTGGCGCACTAAATCAGAGGAGATAAGACTTTTAGTCTGACATTGTAAATACATCCCTGAATGCCAATCTAAACACCCTCTAGATGGACTCAAATCAAATTAAGGTCTCACCTCTAATTACGTCTAAATTCAGACCAGAACTGGTCTGATTTTATCAATGTGAGTTGTAATATGCAGTGAAGACGAGGGCGACTGTTGAAACCTTCTAAATTAGCAAAGATTAAAGTTTTATTTGCAGTCACTGGAAATGTTTTTAAATATGTTTTTTTGTGAGCTGCTTAAAACATATTAATGCAACTTTGGAATATTTTCTAATTTGGCTACATTTTCTATCTTCCTTAATTTACAATAAGAGACTCAATCCAGATTGTAGCCAATATTGCTGTAAAAAAAAAAAAAAAATAGGCATATTTTATCTCTGGTCAAACTTTCTAACTGGCCTATGACATTTTTTTTTTTCTTTTAGCAAACCATCTTTAAAGATTTCTCAAGATTTAGAATAGATTCTTTTTGATCCAATCGGATCCAGTTTGTTCTAAAACTGGATTGATGATTTTACCTGAATTCCATGAGTGTATGGTTATGCAACATATAGATACTAGTACTATATTAACATTACACCGAAAAACACTCTAAATAAAGTAATGGTAGTTAATGGGACATGTAAGGAGAATGGATAATGTAGTTTTTAAAATCAATCTTTGGTTATATATGAAACATTTGGTCTCTGACAACTTTATATTATTATTAGTAGTAGTAGTAGTATCATTAATAGTGAAACGGATTCATTTATATAATGATCATGTTTTCAACTTGAGTGATCTTTTATTGATGAAACGGTGGCAGGGTTTTACTTACTCAATAATAAAAAAAGATCTACATATTCAAGTGTATAAGTATTGGCTGAAATAAACAAGTTTGAAATACGAGGAATTTTCTTTAAATGGTTTATTCTATGGAAACTAAAGTTTTAATGTACACAAATCTGCTTCTAGAAGAAGTAAAATAAAATAGAATAATGTGGAAAAAAACTGGCTAACGGTTTGATATTAAAGCATGCAGTCAAACAGTTACTGTGCAGCAAATCTATGTGATTATTTCTTATCTGCAAAATATCGTTTGAGATTGGTGTCAGTTATCATTAATTTTTATTATTTAATACATTTGAAAAATCATTATCAATAAATTATTTTGTGATAATGTTTTTCAATTGCAGTGATCTATTGATGATTACACTGTGGGAGAGCTTTACTTACCCATTAAAGCGTCAGAAAAACAAAGCGTCGTGGGCCCTAAATCAGAGATAAGACTTTTAGTCTGACATTGTAAATACATCCCTGAATGCCAATCTAAACACCCTCTAGATGGACTCAAATCAAATTTAGGTCTCACCTCTAATGACCTCTAAATTCAGACCAGAACTGGTCTGATTTTATCAATTTTAATGACTGTTGAAACCTTCTAAATTATCAAAGATTACAGTTGTATTTGCAGTTAGTGGAAATGTTTTTAAATATGTTTTGTGTGAGCTACTTAAAACATATTGATGCAACTTTGGAATATTTCCTAATTTGGCTAAATTTTTCTATATTCCTTAATTTACAATAAGAGACTCAATGCATATTGTAGCTAATATTGCTGTAAAAAAGCTGTTTAAAAAAAATTCTTATTTTTATTGCATTTAATCTGAACTACTTTTATCTCTGGTCAAACTTACTCTAACTGGGCAATGACATTTTTTTTTAGCAAACCAACTTTAAAGATTTAGAATAGATTCTTTTTGATCCAATCGGATCCAGTTTGTTCTAAAACTGGATTGATGATTTTACCTGAATTCCATGAGTGTATGGTTATGCAACATATAGATACTAGTACTATATTAACATTACACCGAAAAACACTCTAAATAAAGTAATGGTAGTTAATGGGACATGTAAGGAGAATGGATAATGTAGTTTTAAAAATCAATCTTTGGTTATATATGAAACATTTGGTCTCTGACAACTTCATGTTATTATTATTAGTAGTAGTAGTATCATTAATAGTGAAACGGATTCATTTATATAATGATCATGTTTTCAACTTGAGTGATCTTTTATTGATGAAACGGTGGCAGGGTTTTACTTACTCAATAATAAAAAAAGATCTACATATTCAAGTGTATAAGTATTGGCTGAAATAAACAAGTTTGAAATACGAGGAATTTTCTTTAAATGGTTTATTCTATGGAAACTAAAGTTTTAATGTACACAAACCTGCTTCTAGAAGAAGTAAAATAAAATAGAATAATGTGGAAAAAAACTGGCTAACGGTTTGATATTAAAGCATGCAGTCAAACAGTGACTGTGCAGCAAATCTATGTGATTATTTCTTATCTGCAAAATATCGTTTGAGATTGGTGTCAGTTATCATTAATTTTTATTATTTAATACATTTGAAAAATCATTATCAATAAATTATTTTGTGATAATGTTTTTCAATTGCAGTGATCTATTGATGATTACACTGTGGGAGAGCTTTACTTACCCATTAAAGCGGCAGAACAACAAACCCTCATGGGCACTAAATCAGAGGAGATAAGACTTTTAGTCTGACATTGTAAATACATCCCTGAATGCCAATCTAAACACCCTCTAGATGGACTCAAATCAAATTTAGGTCTCACCTCTAATGACCTCTAAATTCAGACCAGAACTGGTCTGATTTTATCAATTTTAATGACTGTTGAAACCTTCTAAATTAGCAAAGATTACAGTTGTATTTGCAGTTAGTGGAAATGTTTTTAAATATGTTTTTTGTGAGCTGCTTAAAACATATTGATGCAACTTTGGAATATTTCCTAATTTGGCTAAATTTTTCTATATTCCTTAATATACAATAAGAGACTCAATGCAGATTATAGCTAATATTGCTGTAAAAAAGCTGTTTAAAAAAAAAAGTCTTATTTTTATTGCATTTAATCTGAACAACTTTTATCTCTGGTCAAACTTACTCTAACTGGGCAATGACATTTTTTTTAGCAAACCAACTTTAAAGATTTAGAATAGATTCTTTTTGATCCAATCGGATCCAGTTTGTTCTAAAACTGGATTGATGATTTTACCTGAATTCCATGAGTGTATGGTTATGCAACATATAGATACTAGTATTATAATAACATTACACCGAAAACCACTCTAAATAAAGTAATGGTAGTTAATGGGACATGTAAGGAGAATGGATAATGTAGTTTTTAAAATTAATCTTTGGTTTTATATGAAACATTTGGTCCCTGAGACAACAACTTCATATTATTATGAGTAGTAGTGAAACTGATTCATTTATATAATGATCATGTTTTTCAATTTGATTGATCCTTTATTGATGAAATGGTAGCAGGGTTTTACTTACTCAATAATAAAAAATACTGTGGAAAAAAACTGGCTAACGGTTTGAAATTAAAGCATGCAGTCAAACAGTGACTGTGCAGCAAATCTATGTGATTATTTCTTATCTGCAAAATATGGTTTGAGATTTGGTGTCAATTATCATTAATGGTAATTGATTATTTAATAAATTTGAAAAAACATTATCAATAAATTATTTATTGATAATGTTTTTCAATTGCAGTGATCTATGGATGATGAAGCTGTAGGAGAGCTTTACTTACCCATACGTGCGGAAGAAAAACCTTTCATCCGGGGCGCTAAATCAGAGGAGATAACACTTTTAGTCTGACATTGTGAACACATACCTGAATGCCAATCTAAACACCCTCTAGATGGACTCAAATCAAATTTAGGTCTCACCTCTAATGACCTCTAAATTCAGACCAGAACTGGTCTGATTTTATCAATGTGAGTTGCAGTGAACACGAGGACGACTGTTGAAACCTTCTAAATTAGCAAAGATTACAGTTGTATTTTTGTGAGCAGCTACAAACATATTAATGCAACTTTGGAATATTTCTTAATTTGGCTAAATGTTCTATTTTTATTAATATACAACAAGAGACACAATCCAGATTGAAGATAATATTTCTCAAAAAAAATAATAGCTGTATTTAAAAAAACGTTTTATTTTCATTGCAATCAATTTTATCTACTTTTATCACTGGTCAAACTAAGTCTACCAGTCCTATGACAGTTTTTTGTAGTAAACTATCTTTTAAGATTCCAAATTAGTACTAACTAATAAACCAAGTAACGCAATAAATATGAAATTAAAATAAGTGTTGGGGGTGATCCCAAATGATTAAGTGTGTAAATGGATATAAATGGCAATAAAAAAAATAAACTAATGTTGAAATAAAATATTTGGAAAGCTTCTTAATCAAAAAAGGTTTTAAGAAGAACTTTGTAGTTTCCTTAGAAAATGTAAAACAAGAAACAAGAAATTCTAAGAAAGCGGCGCAGTAACTTCTGAAACCTTTTTTAATGAAGCTTTGCAACGTATTATTCTGGATTACATTTTTTTTCTTCAGTTTACATAATGTGTACTTTGCTTCAAACAATAATGGAAAATAATAACTCCATAGTGTAATAATAGCAGCTGAAAAACCGAAAAGTTCTAATCCAAGCAGTTAGAGGTAACAATGCTAATTGTGAGTATAATGTAAATCAATGTCATGATCTATTTCATATTTTATATAAGAATCTCTGAAAGTGTTTTAAAGAAAAGTTTGATAAAACATAAAAAACATAAAAATAATACTAAAGTGAAAAGGTTAAATACAAAAATATGATAAATGATAATGATAAAACCTGGAAAATCTGACTGGATCACCCCCTCCCCTAGTCTTGTGAGACCATCCTGATCTCGCGAGCTTTCAAGGTTTCACTCGCAGATCAGTCTGGAGACTCTCCGTTAAAGAAAACGAACGTCCAATCAGCATTGGCTTTGAGGCGGGTTGAGGTCTGACGCAACGAGAAGCGCGACAGTTCAGTCTAAAGAACATGGCGGCTTCAGCCGATGAAACTAGCGTTAGCGTGGCTATCGAGCAAGTTTTATCGGAATTACAGAGTATTTCTTCACTGAAAGAAGAGCAAAACACTGCTCTGGAGGCTTTTCTCAGAGGAAAAGATGTTTTTGCTCTTCTCCCGACTGGTTTCGGCAAGAGTAGCCTGGCTTGTGGTTGTGTTTTCGTCGTCGCTCTGTTAGTACGTCATATGCTTCGTTGATCTAATTGGTTTATTTGGCCCGTCTATCACCAACATAGGCCAATCAGCTAACCAGTATTTTCGCCCCTTCCCAAAATTACTTCTATGGAAGGTTTCCAGATGGATATGCGGAGCAAATCCATCTGGCGGAGTCAGGTTACCCCTGCCCTCCCCACCTCACTTCCCCTTTCAGGTCAATTTTCTGTTTATAATTCATGCTAAGAACAAAATATGAAACTTTCTTCATCTTAACCTGCTAAATGCTGAAAAAATATATTGAAAAATATCACTCACCTCCATAGAAAGGTGTTGGGATAATTCTGCGCTGTAGAGGTCCTTGAACAGACTCTGGGCTATCTTTGTTTATAGCAATGAAGGCAGTAAAGGAGCTGCTCACTCCTGATTGGACACTGAGCTCCACCACCTTTTTTTTTATTTCTTCATTTTGCTGTCCATTGGGTTTCCTTTCTGACTCCAGGGAACAAATCACGGTGCGAGCAGCCAACCTGTGAACCGTTAACCTGCAGACGGAAAAGAGAGAGATCTTAAGATAGAGCTCAAACAAGTTTGCTTCAACACAAACTAAATTCTCTCATTTGCAAATATCTGTCATTTGTAACTTGTTTGTAACTCAATTTGTAACTAATCAACTATTTTTTTTCTCTGACTATCCTATGTTTTATTTAAGGAGAAGGTGAAACTATTTTCTTGATTTTTGTAGAAAAATAAAGACCGCAGATTAAAAACAAAGAAACCAGGCCAATCATACCCTTCTGTAGGATTTTATCATCACCCAAATTAAAGTCCACCATGAGCAAAATTAAGGCCCCATGCAAACAGACACTGGGTGTAACCGCAAATGTATTTTGTGGTTAAGCACTGCATCAAAATGGATGTACGTACATATATAAATAATGCCTGAATGCGGCTGGCTAGCTCAAGTGGTAAGTCACCCGTCCTTCATACAATATCACTTCTGCCTTAAAAAACAATATGAAGGAGTTTTACCCAGAGTCCTCTGCAGGTTTTAGGTTGAAGTGGAGCTGGTTCTTTGAGGGATGACCTGCCAAGCTAAACTTCACCGTCACACTGCCCTCTGTTGTCTTTGAACTCTGAAAAAATGATTTAATTCACAAAACATGAAAAAAATAACTTTAAACAAATCTACGTTTTATGATATATTTCATATCTAAGCAGTAAAGACAAGTGACACTTGAGCAAGAGAGTCAGCAGTGAATCTACCTGTCCTGTAAGTTGAGCATAAATCAGTGACCTCTGACCCTGAAAGATTGTTGTAATGGGAGGAGAGAGAATGGTGGCCGACACTCCCTTTGGTAAATCCCAAGAGACAGAAATATCTCCCACCGCAGGCTGCAGAGCAAACTTGAGTGACTGCATCACCTGTGGTTTAAAAAATAGTTGTGAAATGATTTATTGTAACATAATAATATTTGAATTGATACTCAGATGTTTTTCTTACCTTTGGCTGCATCCTGTCAGTCCCAGTGATGAACTGAGCATGACCTCCTCCCTCTTTGGCCATCCCATTGATGAGAGCAGAGCTGGCTCCTTCTCCGATCCCAAAGGAGAAACATCTGCAATTTAAGATTTGATTTTAAACTCAATATAACATGAGAACATGATCCAGACTGGCAACAAATGTGTTTATGGTTCCACCTGTGGGAGCCTGAATTCTTCTTAACAAGGTCAATAACTTCTTTGGTGTTTCCCACCTCTCCATCAGTGAAGACAAACAGCTGATGGAGGAGAAATAACACAATGTTACACAGTGTCAGGTTTAAACAGGACCTAGAAGTCTTTAGAATAATCTGTCAAAGAGGAGTGCAACTCTGATGTTTTAGTAGAACAAATCTTTTTAACATGGATGAAGAGCAACAAAAGCTCTGAAATATATGAGCGTCAAAGGAAACTGGTAAGATGAACATTGAATGAAATGGTGAAGTAGAAGTTACTTTAGGTTAAAGTGCTAAAGTTGAATGGCTAGAGCAATCTTGTTGGTGCAATTAAGTGTAGTTAATTTACCTGTCGAGGGTGTGAAGGAATGCAGGGCTGGCTATAAATGTGTTGGAGAGGTTGAAGAATCTCTGTTCCTCCAAGATCGTCCTCCATCTTTTCAACCTTCTTCAGAGCCTCCTCCATAGTCATCTCATTGTATTCCACGCTCTTACTGCCATGGAAAACAACACAGGACATGTTTAAATTAAAACTTATAAAAAAAAAAAAAAAAGTTAACTCTCTATGGCACAAAGACAAGTCTATCTGACGTCTTTTTCAGCTGACCTTTGCAAGTCTTATTGATACGGAATTGGGTCCAGAGACAATGTCTTTGTTCCAACGTCTAACCATACACATTACATTTAGATATAGAAAGGTCCACTAAACCAAGTGCAAATTTGGTCACTGCCCACTGCATATACATGTCTATAAGGCAGCTTTTCTAGGTTGACTGGAAGGAAAGGACCACCAGTTCTGAAACAGATTCTGGTTCTAAACATGCAAATTGAACTGGAAGAACAGGAAATACAAGACTTTGTTATGGGCCACTCTATAAAGCTTCAACCTCAACTCCAATTCTGACATTTTTAATTTAAAAAGCTTCCGATGGGAAGCAAAAGGTCTTCAAACTTGGAAACAAAGTATAGTGGATTGCTTTCCGCTTTTTTAAAATGAATCTGGATGTTGTCAGGCTGTCGAGGCTGACAGGACTCTTCATCATTGCGTTGGTGACATTGCACCTAGACTGGAAGACTAGGGTGGTGTTCCCCCTACATAAGAAGGGGCACCGGAGGGTGTGTTCCAAACAATAGTGGAGATTTCTCAGTGCTGGAAACCCATTTTGTGCCAAAGACTAATTTTATCGCAGAAAGATATAAGTTTATTACAAGAAACATGCAAGATGACAAGTCCATACAGTAAGTGAGTACATAGCAAGTTTAATGAAGCCAAAAGTCAAAGGTTTGGAGCTTTGTGACCTCTTGTTGAGTTGAGCATATACTAAGGACCTCACACTAGGAGCAGCATATGATGTGGGACTAGCTCATGAGGTCTCCATACAGAAATCCCAGAAAACATTAAAAGTGAATATTATCTCCAAGACAAGCACAAGTAAGAAAGAAGATTGTGGTAAGCCATGCTATAGATGTGCAGGCTATGGACAGATTGTTGATTGAGTAAGAAGAAATAACACATTGCAAAAGCCAGCAGATCCAAACAAGACAGAGAGAATGAAACACCTTCTATTCCTTCAAACAGTAGTGATGACAAATGCGTATTAGATTTTACTCACGGAAAGATGTGTTCAAAGCTGGATCCAAAACTGTAAATATTGAAGTAGCACCCCATGGGTAGGCTTTTCAGAAGAAGCAGCAAAGTGTCCTAGAGAAAGAAAATGTCAAGAACAGTACATTTTTTTTTATTTCAACTAGGGATGTGAATCATTTTTGTGGCAGACAGTGGTAGGTTAAACTTGAAAAGAATGTCATTTAAAAGGAAAAGAAGTAAACTGAACAGATTATACTAAAAAAAACATGAGGTTATTGAAGAATTGCTCTTCTGTAGTTATGTAGCGATACCCCAAAAAAGTGATTAATTTGGGGATTTACTTTTCAAAAGAAGGCAGTGACGCATCAAATAAATATATTTTTATCACAAACTTATTACAGAAATCATTTTGAAAGGGTTATAATCATCACATGAATATTTGAATAAATACCCTTGCGCTGCTAATGCGAGTTTCCTGCGGTGTTTTTCGATTCATGGGACAACCCATGCTTCCAGATCGATCAACCAAGAACACAAACTCTCCACATGAGATGAGTGAGGACATCACAGATTGGGGGAACTCGGGGTACAAGCTCACCATCACCACTGGATCTCCCATCAGAGAACCTGAACATGTTGGGAAAGAAAATTCAGAAAGGGTTCTCTCTGTGTTTCCAACATTTAAAGAATAAGTAACACATTAAAGGGCCTTCATGATGAAAAATGGACCATTTTGAACTTTTAACCATGTAATGTTATTCCTTATATAATATCATGAATAAAGTGGTATTTCTCTTGATTTGTGCATCTCTGAGTAATCCTCACAAGTTCTGCTGTCTGAATAGCATCTCCCTCAATACTGTGAAAATGAGTGGATTAGGGGAAACCACATAAGGATGTCTCATCCTGCCTTAACCATGTTGTGCCTCCATTGTAAGCAAGCTACCACTTTCTGTGATTAAGGAGGGCTGATGTGAGGCAGAGTGGGATGACGACAGTTCAAAGTTGAAAAAGGGGCTCTTTTAATAGCTAATCAGCTAAGACATTGCAACTGTTTTGTTTTTTTTAGCTAATGTGTAAGTAATTAAAATCTATTTTTTAGCCTCGAGAGGTTTCCTACTTTGGTCAGCCTTCAGAAGTCAGACTTCACTTTGAGGGAAATTGTTTTTCTTCAAGGTTGGAAGAAAACAAATGTATATTATAGAATATCAATAGTCCATAGTGCAAAAGGCATTATTTCATCAATCATCACACATGAACTAATCTGTTCTCACCAGGTTTGGCAGAAGCCTGTCCTGCCTCCACCACAGCAGTGGGCTGGTGGGCATCTTTGTAATAAATCAGCAGTTCAATGTCTCTGTCAAACTTGTGTCCTGCAGCCAACTTGACCTGCAGTTCAAGAACACAAATATTAGAAATAAACATTTTATCTTGTTTGGAACAAGCACATCCAGCAGTAACATTAGATCTCTACCCACCGTGGCCTGAGTTTGATCAGTGTTAAGGTACTGAAGAGGTTCCAGGGAACAACTGGACTCTACTTTAGATATTGCATGAGGAGAGGACACTTGGACAGAAAAGGACAGACTGTAGGGAACCAGAGAGGCTGGAACTGAGGTCACCTGGACACTGGGACTTTCACTACCTGGAAACACCATGAGAAAAAGTCATGAGATTCATCTGGTTTTTAGTTAAAATCATTAGATTGCATCAGTCTATATTGGCAAAGCTACCCTGTGGCTGGTATCGAGGGTTGAGTACAGCAGGCAGACAGAACCTCAGCCCATCATCAGCCTGCACAGCTAACTCAGTGACATATTCCAGCCTGATGGAGGCGCTCTCTCCTGGAGGCAGACTGCCAACCTTCAGAGAGAAGATATCTGGACTCTCCTCACTCTCCTCCAACAGGAAGGCCTGCTGCCCGGAGCTCAGAGCATCATCATACTCCTCCTTAGCCTGCAGGCCACATAAAACATGTTTATTTTATTGTTTTATCTCCTTAATAAATGCATCTTTATGTCCAACTCACCTCCTGTTTCTCCTTAACCTTGGCTACAATTTGTGTTTTTCCAACCTGAGCACTGAAATGACACACAGCAGCATCTCCAGGCAGAGGGAAGACAAACACAGCCTCTATTGGTTTATCCTCCTTGTTCTCATAGTTCAGAGTAGAAACAACTGTAGCCACATGGTCTTTCACCTCCAGCTGCACTTCAATGCTCTTCAAAGGAACTAAAGTGACAATGTATAATGGTCATGTATAAAAACCACACAAAGTTCTAAAATGTCTTTTTTTTGCAGATGAAATATATTTTATACACAGAAGAGTGTACCTATTTAACAAAGTGATAAACTATTATTGAGAAGAAACCAAACAACCAGATCTTAACAGCTGTGTACCTGGCTCCTTTGTGTTGGTTAGCAGACCACAGCGGTTCTCCATTGTGCCTACAGGACAAAAAGGAAAACAAAAAAGGTAAAGTTTTGAAAAGTAGGCAACTACTTTGTACAATATCATTAAAAAAGATTAAGATCAAATAAGAAGACTAATCTAAAACCATTTTCTATGGTTAAAATTAGTTTTTTTGTGCATGATGACAAATTACTTTGAAAGTACAAAGCTTACACTTTTAGATTAGATGAGCTTTATTGATCTCACAGCGGAGAAATTCACTGGTCACATATTGGCATAGTACTTAAAGAAGGTGCAAACAAGGTGGAAAAGGTGCATTAGGAATAAAAAAAAAAGAAAAATAAATAAATAAAAAAAGAAGCATATTGCATATTGCACACAATATTGCACAGTTAATAAATAAAAAACTATAATATAGTTGCACAGTGGTTGTTACAGGAGTTATTGTGGTTATAGTGCAGTGTTATAGAGTCTGGTGGCAGCAGGAATGAATGACCTGCGGTAGCGCTCCTTCTTACAGACAGGGTGTCTAAGTCTTTCACTAAAAGAGCTGCTCAGCTCCTCTACAGTCTGGTGCAGGGGGTGAGAGGTGTTGTCCATGATGGAGGTGAGTTTGGACAGCATCCTCCTTTCAGCTACTTCCTCTACTGAGTCCAGAGGGCAGCCCAGGACAGAAGTGGCCTTCCTCACCAGCTTATTTAGTCTCTTTCTGTCCCGCTCTGAGCTGCCTGGGGCCCAGCAGACAACAGCGTAGAGGAGGGCTGAGGCCACCACAGAGTCATAGAAGGTTTTAAGGAGGGGCCTGCTGACTCCAAAGGCCCTCAGCCTCCTCAGGAGGTGGAGGCGGCTCTGGCCCTTTTTATACAGAGCATCAGTGTTATGAGTCCAGTCCAGTTTATTGTTGATGTGAACACCCAGGTATTTGAAACTCTTCAATAAAATATTGCTCCACTAAATTAAAGCCAAAGCTACGAGTTGTGTCGAAATCTACACCCTTAAGGCTTTGATGACATGAAAGATGACAGGAGAAAGTCTAAAAAAAACAAAAAGGAGTGGGAGGCTGTTCTAGAACTGAAATACTGGTTTACCAATGAATCAGAGGAGCATTCCAAAGCTTGTTCAAGGTTTAGGTTAAATCAGAACTCAATTTCAAAAAGAATATGGCACCACAGAATGATATAGGTGAATTTAAACTAACTTATGAGAAGTTGTTTAGAATGGTACATAAACGCAAGATCCCTTTATTGTCTCTAGGCAGTTTGTAAGTCTGATTTATTTGTTGCTACTGATTAATTTAAGCTTAACTTTTATTATTTCGGTGCAGCTGTTTACTTATGATGTGCTCCTAAACATGAATGTAATAGTTTATGCTTTGAAATTAGTTTAAAGAGGTTTAGATTTTAGCTGGTTTTGTTATGCTTATGCCACCTCATAAGCATTAGGTCTGGACAAAATTGTATTTCAGATGGACAAAAATGTCTGTGATGCATACTCATCAAATAGAGATTATTCCCCCAAAATGATCTACATGGATCCTAATCAATCTGCTATTGAACGTAGGGCTGAAACAATTAATTTGATTAATCATGATTAATCAAATGTTGAAATAATCATCAGCTAATTTAGTAATCGATTAATCGTTAAATGGAATGTAGAGACTCTAAAGCTTGCCTTTAACTGACAGAGAAACCCACTTAGAGCAGTAATTATACCAAAATCGTGAAAAAAATATGTAAAACATGTTGCATTTTAGATAAAAAAAACTTTTTAATCTGTCAATATACTCTATCCACAACTCCTCACCTGGTTTGATTTCGTAAAAAGTCTTATTTAAAGATCCTATGGCTGTCCAATTACTAATCGATTAATCGAAAAAATAATCAACAGATTAATAAATTAGTTGCATCTAATCCAAATCTGCATTTTTGTACTATTAAGTGCCTGACACTTATTTTACTGAGATTGAAAAGTATGAATGATTAACTGTAAGTTTATGCCAAAACATTCAGATAGATAGATAGATAGATAGATAGATAGATAGATAGATAGATAGATAGATAGATAGATTTTACTTTTACAGTGTCCTGTCTTGCAATGTGGCAATAGGAATAATTGTCTTGATGCCAAAAAGAGAGCCCAACAGCTTTTTGCTTTCACAAGTGGAGCAGTACAGCAATCGCCATAGTGTTCCACTTGATTTATGCATATAAATATATCTTTATTATAATTCCTGCAGGGAGTATAACAGATTGTATGGACACTGCAATGTAAGTAGAACAGGGAAGGAAAAACAAGAAAAAGGAGAAAAGATGAAAAAATGAGGAGATAAAAGGGAGATCATCATCTGCAAAGAGAGATGTAAAAAAAAAACAGCACAACCAACGGATATAGTATGGGAGATACAATAAAGTAACACCTTGATACTATCGCTGAAATATAGGTAGTATTATTTAATCTGACATGTATACTGTGGTAGCTGAAGATAAGAATATGGGCTTTCTGTGTGGAAGTGAATCTCTAAGTACCGGGAACAAAGCAGCTATAATTGTTTATGAGAGTGCAGAGATAGAATGCTTTTAACAGCCTTTTCTTTGTTCTTTTTCTCCAAATATACACAATTTCTTGAATTAGTTTCACATTTTGGAGAGAAGGTTTTTTAAAGCCTTTATTAATTTTGTTGCATTTCCCCCACACTCATTTTCTGTTGACCTTTTACCCACACTGCGCATTAACTGGACATTTCAGTGTTTGCTGAAAAAAGTGACAAGAAAAGAGTGGGATCAGTAAAGAATCTATAACACAGGCCAGCCCAGTTGGAGTATGCAGCACCGCCCTTCTATGACAAGCCCTCAGCTGGATGCAAGAAAGCTGATTCACTCTCATTGCGCTTAGGGCAAAAAAACAAAGTTCAGCTGTAAGGGGGAAAACACGACAAAAAAATATATATATTATAATAAAATTACATTTTAAAAAAATGACCCAAACGTGTGAAACTGAAGGAGCGCCCAAACCACTGTTGTTGATTTAAGATTAATATTTTATAACAATTAGGCCTACCAGAGAATAGTTTCTAACTATTAACTTAAATGATCAAGCATTAAAAAAAAATAATAATAAAGAGAGAATAACTTCTATCTGTATAAGGCATGAGCATGTAGCACGTGAGATGTACTTTACTGAAAGAAAACGCAGAATATTTTGTACAGTTTGTTCCGGAATTTCAACACGCAGAATAATACGCCAGCTTTTACGCCACTCGCCAACTGTTTATTCTTCCCATTGCCAGCCTGCGGATAGCGCTGCACTAAATGAATAACAGAAGAGACGAGAGCTCACCACTGAGAACAAATCCTTCAGACGAAGATATTGGAGTTAGGTTCAGAGTGTCTCTTCAGCATAGACTAACGTCGGAGCTGAACTGCAGCTCTTTAAAAAACATAAATACGCCTCTGACCGGAAGCGCTCTGTTTCTGTTACGGTGCGCCTGGAATGGGCGGAGCTTTTCCAGTAACTCAGCCCTGACTGTGCAATTGTTACGACGGAGTATTAGTATTATTTTATTTCAAAATTAAAATAAGTAATAGAATTACGAGAATAAAGTCGTAACGTGACAACTTTAATTTTCATTTAGTATACACAGAGTTTAAACAAAACGAAATGTCGTTAAGTATAGCTTTCCAGACATTAAATAAACATTCATTCCATAAAATGATGCAGTGATCAAATGTAATAAGGTTGTAACATTACGAGAATGAAGTCATAAAATTATGAGAATAAAGTTGTAATATTACAAGATTTTATTCTCGTAAAAAAAAAGTAAGTTGTGATTAATAAGTGGTTAATCTTTAATTGGATTATAGAGACTTTAAAACTTGCCTTTAGCTGACAGAGCGACAGAGCGACCGACTTAGAGCAGTAATTAGATAACAAAAAGTGTAAAAAACAAAATGTATAAACATTTTGCATGCAAGATTACAAAACTTTTTTGTCTGTCAATATGCTCTATCCCATAACTCTGCAAGGGGAAACGTTTTGGTTTCACCTGGTTTAATATTGTAAAACAATCTTCTTTATGGAACCTTTGGCTGTCTGATTGTTAATCCAAAAAATTATTGACAGATTAATCGATAAGCAAAATAATTGTTTGAATCCAGTCTGTTCCTCTGCCTTGTTTTGGTGTGTGTCAAAGCTGAACTCGAACATAAAAAAAACAAAAAACAAAAGAAAACTTTTTTTGTTGATAAAAGCTTGTTTAACTTTTCAATTGGGGCCTTACAAAGCAAAACAGATCCCACCCCTATATTATTTTACTACCTAAGAAGTAATATATTTTCATGTACCCCTTACAATGCATTCCCGGAACACTAGGGGTACGAGTACCTCCGGTTGGGAAGCACTGACCTACTCTAACATAGAAAGTTTTCATTAATCAGTGCTTCTATTCTTTTTGTGATATCGTCTATGTCTTCTCAAATCTCCAGTCAGGCTTTTGCTTCCTCTCCACATTTGCTTGGCGTGTGTCACAAGGCTCAGAAATGAAGGACTTAAACGCAAGACCTGACACAGTGATTAAAACTCAAAGTTCTTTTAATTCAGTCCAGGGTTGAACAACAGAAAATCCAACAAAAACAGAAGTATCAAAAAGCAGAGGCAAAGCAGGTCAAAATCCAAGCAGGGGTCAAAACACAAGAAAGCTAAATCTAACAGGCAAAAAGGCTGGAACGCTAAGCTCAAAAGACTAAGACGAACTGGCAAAGGGAATCTGCAAGGGTGGGAACTAAATACTCTAACAAACAAAAGAGGAGCACATACACCAGGTGAATTGCATTAGGTTGTGGCAGATCCTGATTGCAGGAAGGAACTCAGGAAGTGAAGCTGCCTAAAACGAGAGAGGAAATGAGTACCAAAATGAAAAGAAGTGAAAAGACAAGGTAATAAAAGTGACATTGATCTAATCAGGACTGCCCCTGACATTACCCCTCCCACTAAGTCCGGCTCCAGACGGACCTAGAGTGTCTGGATGCTGATCATAAAAGTCTCGAATGAGGGATTTGTCCAGAATGTTACTGGCTGGCTCCCATGATCTCTCTTCAGGGCCAAAACCCTCCCAGTCAACCAGGAACTGACGTCCACGACCCCGTTGCCTCACAGCCAGCAGCTTCTTAACTGTGTAGACTGGTTCACCATCAATAATCCGAGGAGCAGGGGGAAGAAGGACACCTTGAAGCCAGGATGCGCAGGCCAGTCTCTAATTCCTGATTTAGCCGTTCAGACTGGCCGTTGGTTTGAGGATGGTAACCTGATGAGAGACTGGTAGATGCTCCTAACAGGGAACAAAATGCCTTCCAAAATTGGGAAATAAACTGCGGACCCCTATCAGACACGTCAGCTGGAAAACCATGAATCCTGAACACTTCAGACATCAAAACCTCAGCAGTCTCCTTAACTGTAGGCAACTTAGCAAGAGGGATGAAGTGAGCCATCTTAGAAAACCTGTCGACCACAGTGAGAATGGTGGTATTACCTTCAGAATTGGGTAGTCCAGTAACAAAATCGAGAGAGATGTGAGACCAAGGTCGAGTGGGGATTCGTAGTGGCTGCAATAGCCCAGCAGAGCGGGTGTTGGAAGGCTTGTGCTGGGCGCAGACCGGACAGGCCGCGACATCTCTCCTCATTGTTGACCACCAGAACCGCTGCCGTATGACAAACAGCGTACGTTCGACCCCTGGGTGACAGGAAAAACTGGAAGCATGTGCCCAATGGATGACCTGGGACCTAAGCTCTGGAGAAACAAAAAGTCTGTTTGGAGGACATCCATCTGGAGGCTGAACCCCAGCTGCTGCTTGCTTGACCCTCTCCTCCATGCTCCAAATCAGTGCTCCCACAACACATGAAGATGGAATTATATGAGAAGGGGCCTCAGGAGGGGAGGAGGTGAGGCCATGCAGGCAAAACAGAGCATCTGGTTTGGCATTCTTGGAACCTGGTCGATATGACACAGTAAAGTTAAAACGATTAAAAAACAAGGCCCAACTGGCTTGACGGGGGTTCAGTCTCTTGGCCCTCCGAAGGTATTCCAGGTTCTTGTGATCTGTCCAAACGATGAATGGGAGTTCAGCCCCCTCCAGCCAGTGACGCCACTCCTCTAGTGCCACCTTAATGGCCAACAATTTCCGATCCCCAATATCATAGTTTCTCTCACTGGCAGATAGTTTTCGAGAGAGGAAGGCACATGGGTGAATCCGGTTATCCCCTACTGAGCGCTGAGAGAGAACTGCCCCCACTCCAGAGTCTGAGGCATCCACCTCGACCAAAAACTGAAGTTGAGGATCTGGTATGGTGAGAACCGGGGCAGAGGTGAACCTGTTCTTTAGTTTCTGGAAGGCATAATCCGCCTGAGGAGACCACTGAAACTTAGAGGTAGGAGAGGTCAAGGCATGCAGGGGTGCTGCGATCGTGCTAAAGTCTCTTATGAACTTCCTATAGAAATTTGCAAACCCCAAAAACCTCTGTACCTCCTTTCTAGAAGTTGGGACGGGCCAGTCCCTAACGGCCTCCACCTTGGCTGGATCCATCTGCATCTCCCCTTGACCCACGATGAAACTGAGGAAGGACACCCTGGGAACATGGAAGTCACACTTCTCTGCTTTTACGTAGAGCTTGTGTAGAAGAAGACGCTGGAGAACCTTTCGAACATGTGCGATGTGGGACTGCTCATCAGGCGAGAAGATCAGAATATCATCCAAGTAAACGAAAACATATTTGTTGAGCATGTCCCGAAGCACGTCATTTATTAGGGCCTGAAAAACAGCTGGGGCATTAGTGAGTCCAAAAGGCATCACAAGGTACTCATAATGTCCACTAGGGGTATTAAAAGCAGTCTTCCACTCATCCCCCTCTCTAATCCTCACCAGATGATAAGCATTCCTTAAGTCCAACTTAGTAAAAATTTTTGCACCTTGCAAAATTTCAAAAGCTGAAGAGATGAGAGGAAGAGGGTACCTGTTCTTTATGGTGATGTCATTGAGTCCTCGATAGTCGATACATGGCCGCAGGGACTTATCCTTTTTGGCGACGAAGAAGAAACCAGCACCCCCAGGGGAAGAGGATGGTCGAATGATTCCAGATTTGAGGGCTGAGTCCACATAATCTTTCATAGCCTGCTGTTCTGGTAGGGACAATGAATAAAGACGTCCCTTGGGTGGTGCAGTTCCAGGAAGTAAATCAATAGCGCAGTCATAGGGCCGATGAGGGGGCAACGAAGTGGCCAGAGACTTGCTGAACACTTCCTTGAGGTTGTGGTAGCATGTGGGAACCTTGGATAACTCAGGAATATCAGGGTCTAAGTCCTTAGAAGTAGATTGGGTTAATACAGGGGAAAAAACATTTTCAGAACTAAGTTGGTTCAGGACACAATTGCAGTTCCACGACAGAATAGAACCTGTGGACCAATCAATGTTAGGGTTATGCTGAACTAGCCAGGGATGGCCTAGTATTACAGGATGCTCCGGGAAGTCTGCTAGAAGAAACGAAATCATCTCAGAATGGTGGTCAGGGAATGTAATCTTGACAGGTTGGGTGTGGTGGGACACTGAGCACAAATGACGTCCATCCAGAGCCGTGGCCTTCAGAGGTTCCTTAAGGGGAACAACCCTTAGGTTTAACTGTTCTGCAAAGCGAGCATCCATTAGGTTAGCATCAGCACCAGAGTCAATAAGAACCTTTAGTTCAATATTCTGCTCAGAAGTGGTGAGCAAAATAGTAGGACAGACACGTTTGGGACTGACTGAAGAGGATGAATAACTCACCAGGGTTGGTTTCTTCTTAGGATTTCTCCTATTATTTGGGCAGGAGGAGACTCGGTGGCCTGACTGACCACAATACAGGCACAATCCCTCCCGAAAACGGCGTTGGCGCTCCTCAGGAGGGAGACAGGTCCGGCCAAGTTCCATGGGTACCTCAGACGAAACTGGGGGATCAAAAGACAAAGAGGGAGCAGGCTCTGGAGCGAGGGGTCGCCAGGAAGTAGCCCCTGTAGCAGCATTATTTCTGAGTGAAAAGTTGTTGGAAGAGGCTCGTTCTCTCCGACGTTAATAGAGTCTTTTATCAATCTTTATCGCCAAAGCGATAAGAGAGTCCAAATCCTCAGGTAAATCCAGTGGGGCCAACTGATCCTTGAGTTCACCAGAAAGGCCATCTAAAAAAGCATCAAAAAGAGCTGCAGGATTCCAATCACTGCCAGCTGCCAAGGTGCGGAACTCAATAGCATAGTCTGAGACACGCAGTGTTGGGCACGTTACTTTGAAAAAGTAATTAGTTATAGTTACTAGTTACTTCTCCCAAAAAGTAACTGAGTTACTAACTGAGTTACTCCACAATAAAAGTAACTAGTTACTAGTAAAAGTAACTATTGCGTTACTTTTGAGTTTCTCGCCCCCGTAAACCTCACCACCCAGCCCCCACCTTCTCGCCGTGTGTTTCCAAAGCCAG